TTATTTAAAATAAATTTTAGACACTCTGTATAAGGTAGTATTATTTTTTATTATTGCAACACAATAACTGATCAGTAACTAAACTTCAGTAAATATTTAGTATAAAAACTTTGATACCCTTGGAGAAATGAAGCCTTAAAATTTTTACTGCAATTTCACAAAATTGAAAATATTTCAAAAACGGTAAGGTTTAAGTATAATAAATCTTAATCAAATTTGCCTTTATTTTAATCGTAGAAACTAAAAATGTAATAATATACAGGGTGTTCCATTTAAAAAAATACAACTTTGATATTTTTCTTTATATTTGATATCTTGTAAAATTATTTTTAAATTCTACCTCTAATAGTCCTTCATCGAACCCAAAACTTACAATTTGTAAAAATCTCATCGTTTAGCTACAATACTCCTTGTCGTATGTGGTGAACAACCCTGTATACTTAATGTAAAGGTATGAAAATTAAATTGGTTTTCACAGTATCCTTAACCAATCACAGCCATAGCATCTATAACTAACTTACTATTACCCTTTACTTTAGTAGAAATTTAAAACTTTAAGTCCTGTTATATGAGAAACAATAACATTTGAAATTTAAAACAATAGTCAGCCTTCGATTCGATCATGAACAGTTAGTTTAGTTTTTATTTTGGTATAAATAAAAATAATTGGGTATTTTTGAACCAAGAGCTAAAAACAAAAACTAAAAAAATTGGGTATTTTACAATCTGCAATAAATACTTGGGTTGTTTTTCTTTTGTGTTTTTAAGTTGGTTGCGTGACTCTTTTAGTTTCTAGTTTCGTTGGGATTTTGAGAGTTTAGATGAGAATTAAAAAATATTATGTATTTTTATGGAAAAGATAGCCTAACGAATATGCATTGCTTTGTTTTGACCATCATATACAAGCAAAATGTACACAATCCCTTTCTTTATTTACAGTTTGACTTGACCACAGACGTAACCCTTTTTTCAAGATTAACTATTAATGTACAACTATTAATGAAAATACAAGAAATTTAGGTCGCGTTTTATTAAATAACAAAGACAAAACTAAGTCAAAAATGTCAAACTAATGTCAAAAATAAGTGGGGTGTAAAGTTCCGATCTAGCAATCCATTGTATAGGTATTAAATAGTCACACAATTAATGAAAACTCAATTAAGTTATTAGACACTTAAATTACCTTGTACAGGGTGGGTCAAATTGGACGCTTTTAAAAGGAAACACCCTTTTCGATAGGAGACGAAAACTGGGAGTTGTATTTTTGTGAAAACATTTCCAAAGCACCTTTTTACTTGGAATTTAATGGTTTAAGTATATTTTTTTTTTAAATTAATAATTTAAGAATTATCAACAGAAAATTGATTGTTTAATTAAAAATATGGGTAAAAATAGAAAAAATTGGAATAAATCGCAAACTATTGAAAATAGGTATATGACATACTTAATAAAAGTTGAAGAGTTTTGTAAAATCTATCAGAAAAAATAATAATATATAGGGTGTACCATTTAAAAAATTTGAAATTTCTTAATTGTAAGTAGTTGAAATTCATAAATATATTTTGAACACCCTGTAGCATCTAACTAAAATATCTTTACATAGATTTTTTTCTATATCTCTATAAAATTCTCCTACCAAATTTTAATTGTCCAACTTCAGAAACAACGGCATCACTGACAATTTTTTATCACACTGCAATCTAACATTTGTTTAAACAAATTTAAATATTACAAAAACTATTCATTTTAGGTATATAACATTATATATAAAAAAGTTATAAAATTTTACGCAGAATCTAAAAATGAAATAAAAAATATAGTGTTGTGTTTAAAAAAAACATATGTTATATTCGCCACACTTTTTTGAAGCACCCTGTATACTCTATAATATTTTAAGAATGTGTATCTTAACCGTCCCTATAATTTTTGTATTTAATATTTTTTTCTAAACCTCGAAACAAATGAGATAATGGACTTTACTCTATCGTTATTCGTTGACTCACCCTGTACTACTTAATTACTCTTCCCACCAAAAATGCAGGTAAAATCGCAATTGCGGTATCCGAAATTCCCGCTATTTTGTTGTTCGGAACGAATTTTCGACTCGACGATCAGCCTATTGTTTTTCCCGTCATTTATTTCCGAGAATTCATAGTTTGTTAACACTGTTGTCTTTCCCACGTTGTTGCCCAATCATCCGATTCACTCGAAATGCGGTACCATGCCGATTTATTGGCTTTTTTTACAATTCATATATAAACCAGACATTCGATAAAACTCTTCTCAGTTCCTTTTGTTTTAATCACACCATAAACACTCTAGAACATTTTTTTTATTCAAAAATATGACAGTATCACGAATATTCACGACTATAAGCATCACGGTAGTGATAGTGAAGCTAGTGCATGCCACCCCGTACCACTACAACAACCAAATTCATCAAGCACCAGTAGATCCAACGTTAGAGTTCACATCCTCATCACAAAAAACTTTCAAGCAAGACATAAATGTGAAAAGACCAGCGTTACTGGGTCCAGTTGCAGTTGTACCTTTGGATCTACCTCCAGAAGAAGAAAACCATCATATATACCGGGAGGAGAATGAAAACTTATCCAGGAAACCTGTGGTTGGTGCTAATTCTGGTAGGGGTGTTCCAACAGTGGCTGTTTTGGAGAAAGAAAATTCGGAAAGGAATTTTCGAAGGGACTATTTCAAAAAGCCGGTCCTGGCAGGGATAGGGATGGGATATTTTGGAAGAAGATATTATTGAATTGGACAAAAAAAAGTGTGTGAGTGAGTTATTGCGTGATTTAAATTTTATTTATTATTTTTTTAGATTATCATTTTTTTATTTGTGAGAGAGAAAATATAGATTTATTGCTATTTTGTGAAAGTTTACTAAAGGGGTGATAATAAAAACACTAAAATTACATGTTTTATTGTTATTTTATTGTTATAGTTCTTTTATAATACAATAAATGAAATTTGACAATTTCATATACATGGTGCGTCTCGAAAGTGGCTCACCCCTATGATTGACACATTCATTTGTTTTTGACCACTTCCTGTTTCACTGGAAATTTGTACAACTTTTGGTTTTTCTTTTTCGCTTAAAAACTTTGGTACAACTTTTGACATTTTTGCTTGAAAAATCGTTTTCAAATTTTAATCTAGAGTGCCATGGCTATGTTAAAAACAATAATTTTTAATCAGGGAGCTTTGGAAAAATAGATTTGAGCGTCTAATGGAAGTAACTAACGGTATGTTACAATTTCAAATAAACCATATGCGAAAATGTCTAAAGTTGACATATGATATGTCATTATATTCAGAGTGTCCTTTTCTATCGAATAAAGTAGAAATAACCCAGGGTGCCATTGAAAAATCAAAAGTTATAGTCATTTCCGGTGAAACAGGAAGTGACTAAAAACAATTCTATACGTCAATCAATCCTAATTTATGTCATGTTTTAACATACCAAATCTCGTTTTTTTTTATCTGAATAAATAAAAAGTTATAGGGGTTAGGTCTATAAAAACACATACAACATTTATGTTTGATTCACCCTGTATATTACCATGAAATATAGCGCATTTTGGTATATTTGGCATTGGTTTCGGAGATAATAGCTAGAGATGAGTTTTTAGAATTTTGTGAAGCATTAAATATGCATAAACAGTATACAGTATGTCCTTGGGTAGCCTTTACAAGAGGCTTTTTTTATATCATTTTGAAAAAATGCATTTTTTTATACAAAATTTTGCTTATTCAAAATGTTTGTGTTCTAAATTGTGAATCTCGTTTATACTTTTTCAAATTTCCATTTTAAAGAAAAATAAAAAAAATTATGAAAATACGATTAAATTTTTTGATTCTTCTATAGATTTTTGATTCCTCGATCTTTCTAGGTTCGTTTTATTAAAATCATCTCGGGAAATAATATTTGACCTTTTCAAAATTTACATGGTATTTCCTATGTTTTTTTTATACGATGTACTTAAACAGCCGTTAAACGGTAGCCTACTAAAATGCCGTTAATAGATATTGTGACGTCGTTCATTCGAAATTGGTCAAAGAATGCATAGAGAAGCTGAATAAATTAGGCAAAGAAAACAAAGTCCTCCTACACTGGGTGCCTGCTCACCAAGGGATAGAAGGAAATGAAAAAGCAAATAATCTAGCTTGGAAAGGAGCGAACACTCCCCTAACTGGACCAGAACCGTTCTGCTTTCCAAGTGGTAACCAACTCAAGGGGGAACTCAAGAACTTGGAAGATTCCATCCGCAACCTGGAATGGAAATCTTGCAATGGTCTAAGACACTCGAAGAAGTTTCTGAGGGCTTATGATCAAGAAAAATCACAGATCTTCCTGGGTCTGAGTAAGAACAATCTTCGGATTGTCACGGGGTTTTTAACAGGACACTGTCTCCTCAATGAACACCTCAGTAGATTGAAACTAAGAAGAAACGGCGAATGCAGATTCTGTGGGGAAGATGGGGAAACGCCAGTACACCTCATCACTGAGTGCGCCGAGACGACAACCATTCGTGCCATGAATTTTGGTACGACTGATATTGGAGATGGAGAACTACCCTCTATAAAACCGTCCCAGATACTGGCTTTTGTCAAAGCCCTGGGACTGTATGATGAGCTATGATTCAAGAAAGGGGGACACAATGGATCTGTAAGGTCGAAGTGATTAACCCCCCTCCCACTCATTCTAAATTCTAAATCAGTGTCGAGGTCAGCGTTGGTTAAGTTGGTTATTTGGTGGGGTGGATAGCGTTGGTTAGTCCTTATAAAATTCCTATATTTCATAAAGCCGTCAAGTGCGTCGCATCAACGACGTCATACCTATTAACGGCAGTTTAAGTACAGCCTTTTTTATATGTGAATTTTATCTGTTATTAAAACCTAAACAGTAAGACACTGGTCAGTATAGTAACCAAAAATTTTAATAATAACATTATTTAAGGTAGGTATAATAAAAATAACAAAAGTAACTGTGTTTATACTGCTCTTTTATTTATATACTCTATACAGTCCACAATTTTTATTATATATGCACATTATCTACAAGTATTCTTTTGAAACATTATCCGTATTGTATAGCAGGATGGTCTTATCCGAAGAATCATCTAATTTTCTATGCTTTTTTTTCATTTAAACCATGGATGAGGAAAATGGTAAGGGTACGCATGGTATGGATGAGCTATGATGGTTTTGTATACTGGTACAAAAGCCGGAGCTGGTGCTATGATCTTGGTAACTGGTGGATGGTAGATCAGTGGGTAGCTATGTAGGAAACCTGTAAAAATAAAAAAAAAATGTTCTATTGATTACTAAGATTCTATGACATAAGCATACTACAAATCAATTCAATGTTGTGATACTTTAGTTAACTATTATTAACAAACTATATTAACAAATATATACAGGGTCTTAAATAAGTGCATATTTTTTCAGAGCTGCTGATTTTACATTTTCAAATAAGCTCAAAATAACCGAATTATTTTACTTACTAAATTAAAAAAAAATATATTTTTCGCTTAAATTTTGAGAACTACTAAGACTTTTGTTTAGCATTTGGTTCCCCTAATTTTAATCTACTATTTGTTGTTGTGTTATTTGTGTTGTCGTATTATCAAGATATACCGTTTTTTAACTGGAAATAAAAAAAAAAATCCAATAATACAAAATTTTCAACATTTTTTGACAAAAAAACCTCAAAGACGTGTCCTTTAGGTTGAAATCTTCCACCCCTAAAAATAAGTGCGCACTTATTTAAAACGACTCACCCTGTATTTGACTATTATATTGTATAATGATTATAGTATTTCATTAAACTATCAATACTTTTTTGATACGATACGCTTTTTTATTTAAAAATTTATACATTTTTATCTATTAGTATACAGGGTAATTCTTAAATAAGTGCAAATATTTTTTCGACCCCAGAAACACGTCAACGAGTCAAATTTTTCTATATATTTTAGAAAACTTTTTAGAACTGCCTATCCACTGCAAATTTTCCCACTATAAGGGATGCAAATACAAAAAAAAATCCGGTGGTTCTCAATTTTTTTAAAAATAAATCAATTTTTTTTAAATTTTCAAACTTGGAATAGCTCGGATATTTTGGACTTTGGAAAGAGAAAATATGATTCTTTCATCGAGATCTACGAGCCCTGAAAATGTTTGCACTTAAGATTTACCCTGTATAAGTTTTATCTTCTATATTGTTTTGGAAAAAATCTGTCCTTGGAAGTTGTGAGATGTATCTATTTATCGAAGGAAGACAAACATTCCAAGTATAATTTACAGTAGGTAATAATAATTATAAAATATGCCGTATATTTTTTATTAAATTATATACTAAACTATAAAATATATATATCTCTTATAAAAGAGATATAAATATATATCTCTTATAAAAATGATAAATAGTTAATATAATTTTGGAATACCATGGTTTTGACAGGTAAATTTAAAACATGCTTTTAAGAAAAAACCGGGAAATATGCTTAAAAATAGTACTAAAAAAGAATAAGTAATAAAATCAGATACCTGGTGCAGCCAGACATAATGACAAAACGACGCACAAAATTAAAATCTTGAGAATCATTTTTTTGAAATATTTGATATAAATGTGACAGGGAAGAATACTTTATCTAAAGATTATAAGACAAAAACTGCTTTATTTCTAATTGCTTAGGTACTATTTATATATGTTTCACTTCTTCTGAAGATTAATCCAAGTAAAGATGTGTCGATATCTGAGGACAATAAATAACAATTAGGGAGTTTTTGCAACGACTTTTACTTGATGCGATGCGTTAACGGATTTAAAATTTAAAATAAAAAATAATTAATTAAGGGGCGAAACCACCCCTAACTAAAGGGGTGAAATCACCCCTCAAATATTACAATATTTTTTATTTAAAAAACGGTCAAGTTTCCGAAAAAACGCTTAAACACGTACATTTTATTTTGTTTTTTTACATATTTTAAGATTTCTTAAAAATGTATACAGGGTGTTTCGAAAAATCTGGTCATTGATTAATCACGATCCTGCTTAAAGCGCTTGACGTAAAAAGCTGATTTTTGAAAAACAGATTGACTTTAGAGTGTAGAGGTTCGATAAGAAGGGATTTTTCGAAACTCGAATTCTAAAGGGGTGAAACCACCCCTCAAATATTAGAATATTTTTTATTTAAAAACCGGTGAGTTTTTCGGAAAAACTCTTAAACACGTACATTTTATTTTGTTGTTTTACATATTTTAAGATTTTTTATAAATTTATACAGGGTGTTTCGAAAGATCTGGTTATTGGTTAATCACGATTCTGCTTAAAGTGTTTGACGTTTAAAGCTGATTTTTGGCAAACGGATTAACTGTGGGATGTAGAGGTTGGATAAGGAGGGGTTTCTCGAATCTCAAATTCCAAGAGGGTGAAAACGCCCCTCAGATATTACAATATTTGTTATTTAAAAAACGGTTAGTCTTTCGGGAAAACGCTTGGACAAGCATAATTTATTTTTTTTACATATTTTGAAATTTTTTAAAAAATCATACAGGGTGTTCCAAAAAGTTGGGTAATTTCTTAACCACGATTCTACTGAAACTGCTTGACGTAAAAAGCTTATTTCTGGCAAACGGATTTTTTGAAAGTCAAATTCCAACAAGGTGAAACTACCCCTCAAATATTACCAAGTTATATAATAATATCGCCATATTGTCTTTTCTCATGCTGACATAAATGTGAGAAAATTTTAACCAGTTTGTATGTTAATGGAAATTCTTGCTTTGATTTATCATCACAATTACAAATGATTGATTCGACGCGAACGAGGTCGCTGGTACACGCTAGTATAATATATTTTTTCTAAATATTTTTTTATATTTAGCTGAACAACGTATAAATTGTCATATCCACCATACTTTTTAAACTGTATCACACATCTTAAATTATTAATACTGTAAACAATCGACATGTCATGTTCTTCCGTTACAAAAATATAGTTTACCGGCAAATTATCACAATCTGTCTGAAGAGAATGGGGTCAGATCAGTACTAAAACCGTTCTTTAGGTGATAATTGATTAAAAATATGTGCAACAGTTACCGGTTCACATGTCAAAATAGTAACACAGATCAGAAAAGATGATATCGACGAGACTGCAATTTAGTCTCGGGTTTCTTGTTGGTGCTTTTTTCGTGTTTAGTGGTAGTGATTCTGGGGGAAATAATGTGATATTAGGCAGAAATAGTGTTATAAGTTCAAACAGAACATCTAGGCAGTTTCCTTGTAAGATATTATTTTTTTTTATTAGCATACATACATTAGTAATTGTAAATTTAACATAATAAAATTGTTTGTTCCCCATTCTTAAGTTATAACGAGTTATAACTTATTATACAGTCTTAGGGATTTGAAAAGTTGTCGTCTCGAGGCACACAGTGGTGAGGTGTTCTGGTGTTTCCCCATTTTCCCCACAGAATCTGCAATCGCCGTTGTTTCTCAATCTACTGAGGTGTTCCTTGAGGAGATAGTGTTCTGTTAGAAACCCCGTAACAATCCGAAGATTGTTCTTGCTTAAATCAAGGAAAATCTTTATTTTTTTTTGGTCTATGATACTTACCACAGTAACTTAACTATAGACTTTTTCTCTAAAGATGTATTTCTTAAGGAAAACACAAGTTTACTCATTAACTATTTTCTGTAGATTGGTACAAAATAATCTGATGTCATTTTGTACTTTATTTTTCAGTTTTTCCAGTGTTTTGGGGAGTTGGTCTGGTACGATTCCTCAACGACGAATGTGACGCAGGCAACGGTTTTGTTGGTACTTGCTACACCAGAAAAGAGTGTAACTATCTTGGTGGTAGCAACATAGCTTACTGCGCTAACCATGCAGGAGCATGTTGCGTTTGTATGTAAACTTTATTTATGTTCGTTAAGTTTTTATTGTAATTCACGTCATTTTCAGTTCAGGAAACTTGTGGGGGAAGTTCAGACTTGAACAATACCTATTTTGTAAGTCCCGGATTTCCCTCAACTTATACCGGTGGATCCTCGTGTGTTTTTACAATTGTTAAGCAAGAAGATGCCTGTCAGGTAAGCCCTTGAACATTAAAAGTAAAAAAAATCTTGTAAATAAGTGTTCTTTAGATAGTATTAATTGGTCAAGGGCTAGTCGGACTCGCGCGCGAAGGGTTCCGTACCATTCATTATCTATATAACATTAGATACAATATTATTATAAACTTTTTTTTTCCGATTTAACTGAAATTTTGAATGCGCGTATAAGTAATTAAAAGAAAATAAAGAAACACATTACTAAAAATTGTATTAATCAATAATAAATACCTAAAAAGTAAAAATAAATATGTCAAAATTAAAAAAAAAACATTAAAAAAAGTCGCCTTGACTAGGATTCGAACCTGCCTTACTATACGGCTCCAACGTCATAGCAGCGTAAAGTCCTAACGCTTTAACTACGCGGCCACCGAGGACTTGAAAGATTCTATGTAAAATTCTTACTTAAAAGATAATGTTTAGTGAAAGTACTTTTTTATTTATAAACATTTATTTAGTTCTGTTTTTAGTATTTGTTCTTATAGCGGCAACATAGATACATTATCTGTGACAATTTCAACTGTCCAGCTATAACGGTTTATAAGATAGACCTTTGTGACAGATGGACGGACGGACGGACAGCGAAGTCTTAGTAATAGGGTTCCCGTTTTTACCCTCTGGGTACAGAATCCTAAAAAGGACACCTTGTATAGTTCTCAAGAAAAAACTGTTTCGAAGCTAATGTAGAAAAATATTTCTTGTTACATATTTCATGGATTCTACTAATTCTTTTTTTTCAAAAGCATGTCTGTAGTACCTTTGTTATTAAATATTTTTTTTAGGTTAGACTTGACTTTTTAACTTTAAACCTTGCCCAGCCAAACAGCAACGGTACCTGTAATACAGACGCCCTGGTCGTTACAGGGGGTGCCTCAATAGTACCTGTGCTATGTGGAGAGAACAGCGGACAACATATCTATGTAGACTTCAATGGAAACACCTCCATAACAGTGAGCATCTTCGTGAGAAGTTCTACAGTATCTCGTTCATGGAACATCAGAGTGAGGCAGATTAACTGTAACTGTCCTTGGAGAGGTACTTTAGATAGGTATAGAAAGTTAAAAAAAAATAAAAAATGTGTATTTTTTTTTAATTTAGCTCCTGCTGGATGTTTGCAATGGTATGAAAGTTTGAGTGGTACTGTTAGGAGTTTTAATTATGGTTCTTCTAGCGTACTTAATGGTACCAGGCAGTTGGCTAATATGAATTATGGAGTTTGTGTTGCTATGGCTCCAGGTAAATTTTGTTAAAACTCAGATTTTTGAGCATAAATCTTCATTCAGAACCTCGCAATTAGTGGAATAAATTAGTGTTTTCAATTAGTGTTGAAGTTTGTTCCTTTAATTTCAATGTAAGCATTCAGAAAGTCAAAATTAGTGGTAGACATGTTTAATTAGTAGAAAAAGTTGTCAAACTTTTAACTTTTCTACTAATTATACTTCAAAATTTGCGAGAAATGTCATTTTGGACTTTGGTTATCTTCCGTCAAGAGAAATTATGGTTAGAAATCAAAAGTTGATTGTTTTATAAGCCTTTTTAAGAAAAAAATATTGAAAATACAAGAAATGTCCTACTATACTAAGTATTTACGTTGATCTGTACTTACTTTGCTAGAAATATCGTAATCTTAAACCATACATGGTGTTCAAAATTTTATTCCAAATTTTCTAAAATACACACACCGGAAAAGTCTAGGGATATTACAATTTTATCCAGCCATCGTCAGTAATTTTATTATTTGCATTTCTGATATAATAAAATTAAAATAAACAAATAGTTTGCAGGACGTATTGGAAATAAAAATGCGAAATTTACTGAATTTTTCAAATTTACCTTTATTTTTATTAAACTCAAAAAAATACACATTTTTATTCTAAACTGTGAATTAAAAAAAAAAAAGATAAAACCATTTTTACTTAATAAAGGGTATGGCCTCCTCTACTGTTCATTACAGCCCTACATCGTCTCTCCATGCTCCTGATCAGGTTGTCGATCTCTCCTTGAGGTACAGCCTGCCACGCTGCATTCACGGTCCGAACCAGATCTCTACGTGTTTCACGAGGCATACCCATTCTCAAAATTCTTCTTTGGACCGCGTCCCATACGTGCTCGATGGGGTTGAGGTCAGGAGATTGTGCCGGCCAGGGTTTAATTGATGAGCATTGATAAACTCACTTACCACTCTGGCTGTATCAGGCCGTGCATTGTCATGCATGAGAATGAAGTTTCTTCCAAAATCATTGGCATATGGTAACACGACAGGCTCAAGAATTAAATCACGATATGAGATTCCTGTTAGAAACCTTTCAAGAAAAACGAGATCCGTTTTTTTCGGCCTAACTGGACTCCTCCCCAGACCATAACTGTTCCACCTTGATAAGGGTGCACTTCCTGAACATGATCCAACCGAATAAGATTTCCCGGTTCTCTCCATACCCTAAGCCTTCTCGAATCCGGATGAATTCCAAAGCGTGACTTATCCGTGAAGAGAACATTGGCCCATTGTTCATTCGACCACTGAACATAATCTTGAGCCCACAAATATCGTACCTCTCGATTTCCTCTCGTTAAGGGTTGAGCTCTCCAGGGGCGTCTGCATCTTAAGTTGACCTCTCTTAATCAATTGCGAACAGTGTCAGGTCTAACGGTTACATTATGTATTTCCTGGAGAATTAAACTAAGCTCTGGTGCTGTAAGAGTCGGTCGGCGTCGAGCATTTAATTATAAAAAATGATCTTGCTGAGGGGTGGTAATGCAATGTCGCCCTGTGTGCCTTTCAGCAACATCACCTCTTTCACGGTAGCGTGCACTTAATCGCGATATTACACTTTGCGTTGTATTTAATGCCCTAGCTACGTCGATTTGGCGCATTCCAGCTTCGAGCATACCCATGGCTCTTAGCATTTAGTCTCTGTTAAGATGTCTACGCTCCATAATGTCGTTTAATACTAAACAGAGTTATTTGAATGAATTCTGGCCAGTTATCATAAAAACATAGCCAGTACAGGTTAAATTCGACGAATTGATGCTAGGTGCTTTTTATACATTTGACAAAAAATGCACAAACACTTCTGCAAATTACCCAAATTTAGAAATAACTAGTGTGACTACTTCGTTTCGATCGAAGTAGAAAGAATCGGCCTACAAATATGTGGTTGTTTATTCAAAACATTTATTTTTAACTTTAATAAACTGATATCCCTATATTTTTCCGGTGTGTGTAGTATAAAATAGTTTTTCTTCGTTTTTTTTTAATGGAATGGAAGTCCAATTATTTCTTTATTAGATGGAGAATTTAAAACACTATAAGGGCCAAACTTTTGAAAAAAAAACGGTATTTGCCTAGTACAGGCTCTGAAATATTCCAGCATGGCGCTTTTAATGTTACGGTAACTTTCTAAGGTTATTGTGGAATTGAGTGGTCACAATCCAGCGACACGTATGGATTTTCTGTTACTGGAGACACATTCACTGCTGTAGGAGACGGTACTGTAGGTACGACTAGTGCAAGTCTTACAGGAGATGATTGTACGACAGATTTCGTTGTTATACCTGCTCCTATCTTAGAATCCAACAATACTCCATTGAATACAGACAGGTTTTGTGGAAATGGTTTTCCCACAGTTATTTGTAAGTCAAATCTTATTTTTTATATTTTCTATATTTAAAATGCCATGAAAACAGATATAATATTACTCAATATCATTTATGATTATGGGTACCGAAACTACTTTTATCCACAATCATGCAACTTTAATTCGATTTTTTAAAATAACGCTTGCTGCAAATTTTTCCTATAAAATTTTTATAATTTTAACTAAATATATACATGTGATTGTAGATAAAACGTTATACCGTATAGTCGAAAAAAAACGACGTCAGCGATGGCTATGAAATGAACATTACTGTCATTTTATATGTAAATTTATTTCGGAAATGTTATCGATCTTCATTTCCTAGCCAACTGGTCGGCTTTTTTTAATCATACGGTATTACAATCGTCTTTTAGTTGAATTTTGTCCACTAGAGAAAATAAAATATTCTTCCTAAAAACAGTTATACATGCTTAATAAATAACAATTAAGCCTTTTGTGAATTGTTTATCAGCATTTTTTTTTCATTTTCAGCATATTCTAAGCAATTCGTTTTGACAGTTGTGACAAATGGGAACGAAGTGAACGATACAGGCAATCGTGGATTTTCGTTGAGCTTTTCTCAAGTTTTATGTGACGGAAGTCTCCTTTTTGGAAAGTAGTCTTTATACGATTTATAAATAAAAAAAATAAAAAAGCAAAATATTGAGTATTATTTTTATCGAACTTTTGTTACTCTATCATCAAGTAAAAGATACAAATCTTAGGGAACTCAACAAATTTAGAAGTTACATCTGTGTCTCATTAGTAACTTTATTTCAACTGAATTTTTAGGGAGATTAAGCAAAAATATCAGTATATCTGGAATATATTTACATATTCATACTTTACCATAATTTTAGAGGCTTAAAAAATCACTTAAAGTTTTAACTTGTTAAAGAATATCATAAATAATTCATCTTCTGAACCATTATTTTTACCTCCTTTTACGAATAGTACTATCATTTCAGTTTACAGGTCATCTTGTACCTTAAATCAGCATCTGTGTAAAAATTTCTGTCTTCAAAACAAATGCTACACCTCCAAAATCCATTTGTAGTATGTCCTATACTTATGTAAGAACTCTATTTTTCTATGCTACGTTTTCTTTATCTGACGTAATAATAAAAAACAGACATTTCAAAAGCCGGAGTGCAATGGAATTTCGAATGTAAACAAAAACAAGCCCAAAATTCATGCTACATGCACTTTTCGAAAAGGTTTTAGATAACATTCAATACAGTATCGCCGTCTAAAACAGTATTAGACAGCGTCAGAGAAAGAAGTGGTACGCGCTTATTAAATTAAAACTATTAAAGTTTCCGAGGTTTAATTAAGGTTTTGTGGTAGTTCTGAGTTCCATTGCCGTGCCGAATAAGAAGTTTAATTAAGGTGAGTTTATTTTATCTCACTGAGCAACTAGTTGGTTACTGTTTATTATTTTTATTGAGATATATTATATTTCTTAATCTCAGATAAATTTTAAGATATTTGATTGAATATAAAGAAAAGATAATTTGCAGATGATAATATTGAAGTATTTCTTTATAGTGAGTTATTTATAATTTGTCTATGTGACTTTAATAGAAGATAAGAATATATTTGTGTATTAATATTATCAAATTGATCTTGAATGAATTATGATTAGCTTTATTATTTTCTACAGTTAGCCTTTCGGGCGTAGTGACCCTGTGTAGCGTAGTTAGACTTGAAGAGTAGTTCGTCCTGTAGCGTAATTAGCCTTGACAAGTAGTTAGTCTCGTAGCGTAATTAGACTTGAAGAGTAGTTATCCCAGTAGTGTAGTTTGACTATTAACTTGTGTATTTTTTTAGCCTGTGTGGCACTTTGATAGCCTGTGTGGCATTTTGATAGCCTGTGTGGCATGTTTTTTTAATAGTCTGTGTGACTACCCTGTGTGGCATTTTTTTAGCCTGTGTGGCATTTTGATAGCCTGTGTGGCATGTTTTTTTTTAATAGTCTGTCTGACTAGCCTGTGTGGCACTTTGATAGCCTGTGTGGCATTTTTTTAGCCTGTGTGGCACTTTGATAGCCTATGTGGCATTTTTTAGCCTGTGTGGCATTTTGATAGCTTGTGTGGCAAGTTTTTTTTAATAGTCTGTGTGACTAGCCTGTGTGGCATTTTATTATTTTATTTAAACTTGTATTTTTAAGTTGGACTATTGATAAATCATTCAAGTACCTGTTTAATTTTAAATTCACTTTATTTTAATAATAACTGGTAACATTGTTGCTCACACCATGTTTTTTCTCTTTAATTGCAGGTAGGTCATCTCGGTAGCCAGGTCATACAAGACTTTTGTTGCTATACAACATTTGTCCATTTGCAGCGCCCAGATCAAAGTTGGCTATTACCATTAGTAACGTACCATCTATTATTATTTTTATTTTATATTATTAGTTGTATTTTATTATACAACATTTACGTCCTTTAAATTTGTTTTATGGTTTTTATTTTTAATTTGAGTTGACAGCTTGAAAAAAAAAATTTGGCCCTTACACTTATTTAGCGCTCTTTTTAGAAGTAAGGTGGTGTTTAACCACGTGGAATATAAGGAAATATTTTCTAGTTTATGAAATAAATACAAGCTTCAATTACATTTCTTCAAGCCAGACAAAATCATTTACAATAAGTCATAGGAATATTAGAGTACAGGTAGGAATAATCTTTGATTTATTTTTTGTTGACTTCTTTGACCCTCTTTTGTATATTCATGGTTAATCTTCTGATGCGTGTCGTATACTCGTCAGCAAGTAATAACAGTAGTAGTAGTAGTAGTAGGAAGATCGTAAGATTTAGGTGCCAGTACAGGCGACTTTCTCTAAGTCTAGGATGTCAGTCCAGTTAAAGTACAGTCATGACTTATGGCTGCAGAATTTCGATATTTAAGCAAAAATTCATAAGGAATCTCTAGGTAGGACACAAATCTATAGACCAATGCAGGCTTGGAGGATCACAATAAAGTAAAATTGCATATATTTCTTTAAAAAAATTATTATTTCTAAACTATCCAGTTAAAAGAACTACCGGATTAACATTTCGACAAGACTGTTGAGTAAATGTCAGTGAAAACCCTCTGTTTGCCACATCCTCACTTTGAAGCTCATCAGCATCAGTAATCACAGTCAGAACAAATGGTTTTGAGTATGCTGAAACAGAAAAAAAAAACATTATTTTAGCAAAACTTCGAAAAACAGAAACAAGTGTTTCTTACTGTAAACTGTTGCAAACTCATTTCCACAAAATCTATCCGAATTGACAGCTGTGTCATTAGAATAATACGGATTGGGTATAACAACAAAATCAGTAGTGCATAATGATCCAACGATGGGATCATTAGGAAGTCCTGAAACTACTTCTACTAGTGCTGTGTTGTTAGTTACAGTGAAAGAGGTACTATCACTGCTTTGGGCCCATTGAATGGAACAGTATCTAAAAATAAAATATATGTTTTTAATAAGTGATAGCCAAACAATGTTAATGAGGTAGTACCCTGGTTGCATCTGAATGCAGACACCGTAGTTTGTGTTTGCTAGTTGCCTAGTACCGGCTACTGTTGTTGAATTGGCGTATGTAATGACAGCTCCGTTGATTTGAGTACCGTAATTGAAACTTCTGACTGTAGCACTTAAGTCGGTGTAGTACTGAAGGCATCCTGGTGGAGCTAAAATAAAAATAAATACAGTTTACTAAGAAAAAATACGTTAATTATTGAAATCTATAGTATACAGGGTGGTCTGAACAGTATTCCGGAAACTTCGGCAGTATATTCTGCAGATAACAATAAGTAAAAGATTTCGTATAAATATATGTCCTAAAATGCTTAGTTTCGGAGATACAGGGTGTAGAAATTTCATTTTTATTTCGATTTTTTCTAAACAATTTCTGAAGTAACGTCAATATTTGGATGAAAATAGGTATCTGGAAGTTTTTTGATGTTTTTGATTCTGATGTCAATATGACTTCTACTTGTAGAGGGGGCCACCTACGTATATTTTAACAGGTTTTTAAGCTACTGTTTAAATAAATATATATTTACGACGTTTTTTTTACGTAAAAAAGGTCTCTTGCTAAAAATCGCTACGAGTAATGGTTCTCGAGAGATTTGGAATCGAAATTATCTATACCTGTCATCATTGACATAAATTAAACACGTTGACTAAATAGTTATTAGACTGAAATCATAAATTTGAAATGTTTTTATACCAAAAGTTCAACAGAAACTGTTTTATCATCATTTTTTCGAAAAAAAAAATTATGATTAATTAAAAAAAAAGTTCCCAAATTTATCATTTCAGTCAAATAAATAACTATCTACTCAATAACCTGTTTATTTTTTTATCAATAATAACATGTATTGACTTTTTCCATTTTAAATATCTTATATAGAACTGTTGGTCGTAGCCATTTTTATCAAGAAACATTTTTTACGTAAAAAATCACGGAAATGTATATTTTTCCACTCGGTAGTTTTATTTATACAGGTACGGACAAAAAATTATTACTTTTCAAAACAGTTAAAACACATCTAGGTGGCGCCCCTTACAAATAGGAGTCATATTGACATCAAAATCAAATTTCTCATGTCAAAAAATTCCCAGACACCAAGTTTCATCCAAATATTGACGTTAATTCAGAAATTATTTGGAAAAAATCGAAATAAAAATGAAACTTCTACACCCTGTAGCCCCGAAACTAAGCATTTTAGGCATACATTTATACAAACTTTTTTACTTATTTTTAACTGCAGAATATACTGCTGAAGTTTCCGGAATACAGTTCGGACCATCCTGTATAAATGCTAGGGTATTTTTTTACACAGCAAACCAGTTTTAGTCAAAAAACTTTTTGATTGAAACGGGTGTCATGTTGATTTTCTCAACGCAAATTAAACGGACTAACACATCCTGATCAGTCACGAGTTGGAACCTTTGGTCTTTCAACAGCAAAATAAAACAAGTTTGAGTTAATCTCTAAATAAAAATTATTACCTAAAGTGGGACAGTCACAGGCAATCTGAGTTACTTTCAAATTAAAACTTCGTTCCAAATCCACAGATGATGACGTGGATATAGTGATAGTGATGCTGTTATTCCCTACGAACGTCAAATATATATGTTGTCCCGAATTTTCTCCACAAATAACAGGGATATTGCCGCCTGATCCTGTTATAACCATTGAATCATAGATGCAGTTACCATTACCATCTGGCTGGGACAGTACGAAATTCAAAAAATCAACTCTAGCCTAAAATTGGTTGATGATTTTTCATGATAATAAAAAGAATTAGTAAAGGTAGTATCAGACATAGCTACTTTTGTTGCGCAGCACATTAAAAAACTGCGCAACTTGATCTGTTGCAAGTGTGAATACCTAGGTAACCTGCAACGTTGCGATCGCAGCTTGGTTGAGTAGGCTACTTTTTTGTTGTGCGCAGTTTAAATAGCCGTGTAGGAACAGTTGTTGAGGAAGGTTGCAAGTGCAGCAAAAGATTACTAATCAGTTGAAACTTTTACTGCAGACATCGGTGCAGTATTCTGTTGGTATGCCCGAAATGTATACACTTTTTTTCAGTTCAGTTTCAACTCCAGAATCTATATGTAGGTATTTAGTAAAGAATTAACCGACAAATTGAGATGTCGTCGAAGTCAAAACAAGCGATTTGGAACAGAGAACAAGTAAAATGTTTAATAGAAGCAGTAGAAGCAAGGGAGTGTTTATGGAACGTAAAAAGTCCATTCTATCACAACCAAACGAAAACCTGTTCGCGCTTTCTTATCCATTCCCTGACCCACACTCTTATTTTCTTTGTCGCCGCTTTTGTTTCGCCGCCAAAGTCACATATAAATATGCCGCTGATAACAATGTCTCGTCATTCCTTAAAAAAAAACGCAACCGTCTCCCAAAAGGTACACACACGATACCTTGAGCTGTGGGCGGTGTACTGTTGAATGTTGCCCCTCCAAGGCTGCGGCTACCAAAATAGGTTGCAAAAGTAGCGCTTTGGTGTGAACATATGAAAAGCATGTAGTGTCGACCTGCAACTTTTTTAGGCAGCTGCTGCATAAAAAATGCGCGTTTTGGACACTTTCTGCTGGTGTATGCAACTTTTGTATGCAACACTCAATGCAACTTTTGCAGCGGCTGAAAAAAAATTGCCCAACAAAAGTAGCTGTGTCTGATACTACCTTAATACACTATAGTAGTATAATACAGCTATTATATAACGGACATCCAAAGAATTAGAATTTTTGTCAATTAATGTCATAATTTTATATATTTTTTCAAACGTCATAAAAGTATTAATTTTCACGACGTGATTGACAATATAAAAAAGTCATTTTAACGCCTAGGCATAAAAGTAAAGCACTTTTACGCCGAAGCACAAAAGTACGAAAATATATTATAAACTGACATAATTTAATAAGCGGTACCATAATTTCTCGATATACAGGGTTGTTCACCACATACGACACGGAGCTAAACGATGAGATTTTTACAAATTGTAAGTTTGGGGTTCGTTGAAGGACTATTAGAGCTACAATTTAAAAATATTTTTACAAGATACAGAGTGTCCCAAATAAATAAAAAATATCGAAGATGTATTTTTTTAAATGGAACACCCTGTATATTATTACATTTTTAGTTTCTACGATTAAAATAAAGGTAAATTTGATTAAGGTTTATTATACTAAAACCTTACCGTTTTTGAAATATTTTCAATTTTGTGAAATTGCAGTAAAAATTTTAAAGCTTCATTTCTCCAAGGGTATCAATGTTTTTAATACTAAATATTTAATGAAGTTTATTTATTAATCAGTTATTGTGTTGCAATAATAAAAATAATACTACCTTATACAGAGTGTCTAAAAATTTATATTAAATAATTATTAGCTTCAAACGGCAATAACTTCTTTAATTTAAATGGAATGCCCTGTATATTTTAGGAGAATCAGATGCACAATTAAATTCTCTATCAAATTGTATTATACCATTTTTTACCTATTCCTTCAAGTTTTCGTAGAAAATGCATTTTCTTATAATTTAGACCTCATTTATCAATATATCTATGGAATATTGACATTTTAGATTGTTTTTAAAGCAACAAATGTACAAAATGTACAGATTAGTAATATTATCGTTTTTAGCAAAACGATAATATCAATAGCCCATTTGTATGCAAAAAGAAAACTATTTAAATCTTTATAAAAGAGTATACCATTAATTAAATATAACACCATTATTTCCGCCCATATACTAATTAATGACATACTTAATTGTGTTCGTTAATAAATTATTATAAATAAATGTGGATTTTTGAGTCAGAAATCAATATAATAATAAGTTATCAAATTAAAGTCTTTGTTGTTATAAATAAGCATTTATTAAAAAATGAAATATAATTTTTAAGGTGTTACTTTATATCACACTGTCTAATGCCCATACAAAATTCAGTTTTTTAGTATTTGGACCAATTATTATTAATCAACGCAAACAGTCAGTTAATGTAGTTTGAATACTGGAATCATATTAATTGGTCCTCTTTAACAAATATTTAAACAGTTCTTTTTAATTTTTTAATGAAATAAACGAATTATATCGACAATATTAGTATCTGTACTCTTTAAAAATTTGGTACATCTTTAAAAATAATCTAAAATGTCAATAGTCCATGGGTATATTGATAAATAAGTTCTAAATTACAAGAAAATGCATTTTCTACGGAAACTTAAAGAGATAGGTAAAAAAATGGTATAATATAATTTGATAGACAATTAAATTGTGCATCTGATTCTCGTAAAATATACAGGGTGTTCCATTTAAATTAAACAAGTTATTGCCGTTTGAAGCTAATAATTATTTAAAATAAATTTTTAGACACTCTGTATAAGGTAGTATAATTTTTATTATTTCAAAACAATAACTGATCAGTAAATAAACTTCAGTAAATATTTAGTATTAAAAACTTTGATACCCTTGGAGAAATGAAGCCTTAAAATTTTTACTCCAATTTCACAAAATTGAAAATATTTCAAAAACGGTAAGGTTAAAGTATAATAAATCTTAATCAAATTTACCTTTATTTTAATCGTAGAAACTAAAAATGTAATAATATACAGGGTGTTCCATTTAAAAAAATACAACTTTGATATTTTTTACTTATTTGGGACACTCTGTATCTTGTAGAATTATTTTTAAATTGTACCTCTAATAGTCCTTCATCGAACCCAAAACTTACAATTTGTAAAAATCTCATCGTTTAGCTACAATACTCCGTGTCGTATGTGATGAACAACCCTGTATAATTACATAAAAGGTATTACTTTTAAATCTTTTTATATTATTTGGAACGTTTGAAACTGTTTAAAAAATTATTTGTGGCGTTTGAAAAAAAATAGCATGTTCTATTCGGAGTAAAAATGACATTTTTTGGCTCGCCTGTATGTCAAAATTGTCAAACGTACAGCCTCGCCACAAAAAGTGTCATTTTTACTTCTATTTTTCAGAGGATGTATGTTAAAATAGATTGGATTATAGTAATTTTGACTATTACTTGACAAGAAGTTCCCGGACAGGGCTCTATAGTAAATGTACAGGATGTCTCGTCATTGAAAGTATTTGGATAATCATCGCTGACAAAATATGTGTTGTTATACGCTGAACTTTGGCCACATGTCCGATAAACTAAAACAATATCAAAACGTAAAACTGTTTTGTGAGGTTTTGAGGGAAATATTACGTAGACAACATCGTCCAATGCCGTTTGAGGTGCAAGAGCCTGATTGGATACCTCCAATATAGCCACATTCTCTTCTTGTGACACATACACCTTCGTATCCTTCTAGGGAACTGCAATTGCTGTTTTCGAATCGTACCAGTCCAATAACGGGCCAATCTAAAACATAAAAATATATATTATTAAGAGTTTGTCTAACAATTTTAAGAGAAAAATACTCAAACCAAAATAGTTTAATTTAACCTTAATGATATAGCTATTTATGTAAAAAGTTGCGAAATAAATGTGTTTTAAAGCGTCGAATATAATAATTTGAGATTTTCATGCTATTATTATTATTTATTTTTAAACATTTTTTAAAATGTTTTGGTAATCGGTTTCTAAGGCACTGTTTATGGATTGTTTAATGACAAAGTTCTGTCAGGTTCAAACGTCGCCGTATTTCTTACAAAGTTTTGTGAAAAAATGAGTGATAATAACGAGTCTTTGGATATTCAACAAGCTGATGAAACTGCGCTATCAACGTTAGAGTGCCCGAGAAGTCGAAAAACTTATACGAGACCACCCACAACAACTTTGGGTCAAAGAAAAACATGTTGAGAATTGCACAGAAAAGGTATTCTAGTCAGGGCCGGCAGAAGGGAAATATTGACACCGGGCGAATACCCTACTTGGCGCCCCACGCCCCCAATAGTTAACATGTTAACATAACAACTAAGTATATTTATGCTACTCTAGCAATAAAATTTCACTTAAAGGTACTTCAAAATTCTTCTCTTCGTTCAATCTAGTCCGCGGTTGTTATTTTTTCTATACCGGGTGCATCTTGAAAGTGACTCACCCCTATAACTCTTTTAATTTTTTAGATAAAAACGAAATTTGGTATGTTAGTATATGACATAAATTAGGATTGATTGACGTATTCAATTGTTTTTGGTCACTTTCTGTTTCAACGAAAAACTATTGATTTTTGAATGGCACCGACGGTAGGTATATTTCTGGTTTATTCGATAGAAAATGAAACTCTGAGTAGATTGACATATCATATATCAACTTTTGACATTTTTGCTCAAAAAAATCGTATTTTAAATTTCAATCTAGAGTGCCATGGCTGTATCAAAAACACTAATTTTTAAACAAGGAGCCTTGGAAAAATAGATTTGATCGTCTAATGTTTTTCGTGTCTTGTGCTGATTGGTTAAAAAATGACCAAATCGTATTTTTAATCATATGCCAATTTTTTCAAATGGAACAAGTGGCTCATTAGCATATTTGGAAAAAGAGTTTTTTACGAATAATTTTGTACCAAACACTTGATATTTCGAGTCAAATTGTCGTTATGACCCGTATGTTTAGTGATGTTAATATTTCAGAAATTTTTGATTGTTACAGGAAATATCCGAAACTTTAAGAAATTCATGAAATTTTAGTAAATTTTACAATTTTACATATTTTTTGTTGATTTGGTAACATTTGGTAACATTTGTACTTTGTACATGAACCATGAACTATGACTATGAACTTAAAAAAAAAGAAAAAAGCACGAAATATAAATTTAAAAAACGTAAAACACAAATAACTGAATTATTCTATTCCGGAATACTTTCGGGCGCCGAGCTGGTCCCATCTTCATAGGGTATTTAGTACTGTCTTCGTCAGTTTCTATTTCCAAATCAGATATATTTGATGTATCATCTGGTTCTGATTCTGAAGGATGGACCTCTACCTCCACGAGTTCTAGTGTTATAGTGGTTCTGGAGGAGTTTTATGTTGTTGAAGATCATGCTCCATATCCACTTTTTGTTTTTGTAGTAATAATTTATTGTTATGAGCTACGAACATTATTTTGCCGGCTCTTTGCGCAGTTAAGCGATTCCTTTTTTTAGTATGGATAAAACTGTAAGTACTGAAACTTCTCTCAGTGGCTGCAGATGACGTTGGTAAAGACAGCAGAGCAACAGCTAAATATTTCAACTGAGTATTTTTACACATTGCTTGCCACCAACTTAGACAGTCTACATTTTTAACTGACATCCAAACGTAGTCGAGAGCCAAACTGTCAAAAGATGACATATGATATGTCATTCTATTCAGATTGTCATTTTCTATCGCATAAAGTAGAAATATACCGAGTTGACATTTAAAAATCAAAAGTTTTATTAATTTCCGGTGAAAGAGGAAGTGATCAAAAACAATTTAATACGTCAATTAATCCTAATTTATGTCGTATACTAACATACCAAATCTCGTTTTTTCATCTGAAAAAATAAGCAAGTTATAAGAGTGAGCCAGTTTTGAGACGCACCCGGTATATAAATGATAAGTATAAGTGATCTTTGAAAACATTACTATTTAGTTGCAAGCAACTGCATTATTTTTCTATAAGAATTTAAGAAAAACTTCTTTTCTTTTTCACAATCAATTATTTCGTGCAGAATCAGTATAGGTATGATCAGATACCATGTATTACTACATATTCAATCCAGAACAATCAAAATCACCCAAAGATTTATATTTTTCCCACTACTGTTAATAAATTAATGAGGCCAACTTACAAGCTTTTTTTTGATAATGATATTGGGATCCTATTTAGCTTCTTGCGAATTGAATATTTGTTTCATGTAATTTTAGGGCAGATCAGCCATTAACAAATAAAGGGTGTGGGTAGTAGACAAAGTGCAATTTTGAGCGGTCAGTCTAAAACTGTCAATTTTGCTGGCTCTTGACCCAAAACAGTTTATTGTTTAGAGAAAATTTATAAAAACAAGAATTATAGAAAGAAGGGTTATTTACAAAATGTTGATAGCTTTTCAGTTATAAGTAAAATACCACGAACATTTTTTTTTAATATTTTAGTTGCTGCGACCCGGGCGACCGCCTGATTCTAGTCTATTTCCTGAAGTTATCTACTACTTTAAAGCCGTCAACTCTGTGGAGTAAATATTCGATGCTCTCTCCGCACCATGATTTATCTGAACAGAAAGGTAGATATTAGCAAATTCACAAACCTTATTGCATTTTTAAAAAGAAAAGCTTCCGGATATCAGGCAAAGCAATCAAAAGTATTTACAAAACTAGTATTTTACAATATTTTCGTTGTTTTAGAAACAACGTTTCATTTTTTACTTTTAGGCACTAGTGCCTAAACAAGTGTCACTTTTAAATACTAGTGCCTAAAAGAATGTCATTTCGAATCTCAAATAACTATCAAAAACTGTCAATTTCGAAACTCTTTCACAAAAAATTGATTTTTAATATAGTGGATAGTGTAAAAAATAGCTACTTTTTGCACGATCGTAGAAAAAAAGTATTTTAAAGTTTCATACAGTACTAACTAAAATTATAACTTACATTGTTTTCCTTCTCTTTCATCTTTACCATCAAATTCACTGTAATCTTCCAAACTATTTTCAATCCTACATTCACATTGTTCAATAATTAATAAAACCAAAACTATTGTTAAACCAAACTCAACCTGTTTAAGGCTCTTCATGTCGAGCTGAAAACTGGTTAACAGGAATTATTAATCCTATGTAGAGCATACCGTTAAGGAAATATTTGTTTAAAAAATTGGAGCTTTCAGAAAAGTGTGAATTGGTAGAATATACAATAAGAAGAATTGAGATTGGTGAAAGAAATGTTTTAGTTGGTACAAAAAAGTAACAGTATATTCTATATATATATATATATATATAAGTCCGGTTCTACAGCGTGATCCGCTTTCCGGTTTCTTGCCGCCATTGCCTTCTGTCCATCCAGTCATTGGCTTGTAAATTGCGCAATGACATTGCCTTTGCATTGCCCCTTTAACCATGTCTCTCGGGGTCTTCCTCGTTTTCTTTTTACAGTTAGGATCCATTTCATTATATTCTTTGGTAGCCTTTCTTCTCCCTTTGTTTTTTTTTTGGATTTCTTCTATGATGGTTATCTCTTTCTTCGATATTTTCTTTATTTCTTCATTTCGCACTTTTTCCAATTTTGAATTTCTTGCCGATCTTCTGAGGAAGTCCATTTCAGTTGCTAAAAACTTTCCTTCCATGGACCGGCTCATCTGCCATACTTCAGCGCCATAAGTAAGTTATTGTTGTGGTATTTATATTTTTTTGTCAAAGAATAGAATTTAGTGCCCCTGTAATGTTTCTGGCTTTGTCGATTCTATTATTGATGGTATTGTCGCTTTTTCCATTATTATGTATGTTAGTACCTAGGTATGTGAATTCTGTACATGATTTTATTTTGTTTCCGTTTTCCATTTCTAGGTCTTGTCCTTTGTGCCCACGCATTGATATTCTGTCTTTTTAAAATTTATTTGTAAATCCCATCTATCATATTCCTCATTTAATTTTCTAAACATGTACCCAATGTCATCTACATCTCGGGCCAGTATTACTTGATCGTCGGCGTAGTGAATGGTATATATTGTTTTATTTTCGAGTGGTATGCCCATTCCACTACATTTTCGTCTCCATTGTTCCATTGCTGCATCTAAGTAAATATTGAATAAAATTGGAGATAGTATAGATATACAGGGTTGTTTACCACATACGACACGGAGTATTGTAGCTAAACGATTAGATTTTTACAAATTGTAAGTTTTGTGTTCGTTGAAGGACTATTAGAGCTACAATTTAAAAATATTTTTACAAGATACATAATAAAAAATATCAAAGTTATATTTTTTTAAATAGAACACCCTGTATATTATTACATTTTCAGTTTCTACGATTAAAATAAAGGTAAATTTGATTTAGGTTTACCGCACTTTAATCTTACCGTTTTTGAAATATTTTCAATTTTGTGAAATTCCAGTCAAAACTTTAAGGCTTCATTTCTCCAAGGGTATCAAAGTTTTTAATACTAAATATTTACTGAAGTTTATTTATTGATCAGTTATTGTGTTGCAATAATAAAAATTATACTACCTTATACAGAGTGTCTAAAATTACATTTTAAATAATTACTAGATTTAAACGGCAATAACTTGTTTAATTTAAATGGAACACCCTGTATATTTTATGAGAATCAGATGCACAATTTAATTGTCTATCAAACTGTATTATACCATTTTTTACGTATCTCTTCAAGTTTCCGTAGAAAATGCATTTTCTTGTAATTAAAAACTCATTTATCAATATACCCATGGAATACTGACATTTTAGATTATTTTTAAAAATGTGGCAACTTTTTAAAGAGAACAGATACCAATATTGTCGATCTACTTTGTTTATTTCATTAAAAAAATATAAAAAGCTGTTTAAATATTTGTTAAAGAATGATTAATATGATTCCAGTATTCGAACTACATTAATTGACTGTTGCGTTGATTTATAATAATTGCTGAAATAGTAAAAAAACTGAATTTTGTATGTGTATTAGGCAATGTGGTAAAAAGTAACACCTTAAAAATGATATTTCATTTTTTGACAAAAGCTTATATTTATAACAACAGAGACATTCATTTTCATAACTTATTATTATATTGATTTCTGATTCAAATGCACATCTATTGAGAATAATTTATTAACGAACATAATTAAGTATGTAATTAATTAGTATTTGGGCGGAAATAATGGTGGTGTATTTAATTATAGTGGTATACTCTTTTATAAAGATTTAAATAGTTCTCTTCTTGCATACAAATGGCCTAGTAATATTATCATTTTGCTAAAAACGATAATATTACTAGCCTGTACATTTTGTACATTTGTCGCTTTAAAAACAATCTAAAATGTCAATATTCCATAGGTATATTGATAAATGAGGTCTAAATTATAAGAAAATGAATTTTCTACGAAAACTTGAAGGGATAGGTAAAAAATGGTATAATACAATTTGATAGACAATTAAATTGTGCATCTGATTCTCCTAAAATATACAGGGTATTCCATTTAAATTAAACAAGATATAGCCGTTTAAAGCTAGAAATTATTTAAAATAAATTTTTAGACACTCTGTATGAGGTAGTATTATTTTTATTATTGCAACACAATAACTGATCAATAAATAGACTTCAGTAAATATTTGGTAATAAAAACTTTGACACCCTTGGAGAAATGAAGCCTTAATTTTTTTACTGCAATTTCACAAAATTGAAAATATTTCAAAAACGGTAAGGTTTAAGTGTAATAATCCTTAATCAAATTTACCTTTATTTTAATCGTAGAAACTAAAAATGTAATAATATACAGGCTGTTCCATTTAAAAAAATGCAACTTTGATATTTTTTATTTATTTGGGACACTCTGTATCTTGTAAAAATATTTTTAAATTGTAGCTCTAATAGTCCTTCAACGAACCCAAAACTTACAATTTGTAAAAATCTAATCATTTAGCTACAATACTCCGTGTCGTATGTGGTCAACAACCCTGTAGACAGTATATTCAAAAAGTTTAAAAATGAAGATTTTAGCGCTATTCTGCAATCTAATGGAAAGTTTATAAAGCTTGTAACCAAGGTTTCAGCAGAATCCTGCTGGTAATGTTGTTATTACTTTTGTTCAGCAGGTGGCGGTGAATGTACCAAATATTTTGATATTGCCGTTGTAATATTAAAGTCTTTACCTAGTATGATATCATTGTTTTAACTATTTTATTATTAGTCAATATGGGAAGTATTTGTCTGTCTTGGTCTAGCCACTTGTATACGGTTTTTTATTTCATCGTCTTAGCAGACTTAGTTTACTATAAAGTCTGTCCAACGAGAAGATCCTTGACAGTGATAGATGTGTCTGTCATTTTAATTTCAAAGTAGTTTATTTTATTTTACAAAGAAATAAGTTGGTACAACTGGAACGCATAGCAGGAAATTAATATATGTATTTAAAATTTGACTGACAAGTAACTTCAAAATATTGTGAAAAAAACTGTATACAACTGAAAAAATGTAATCGAGTTATTTTATTTAATACAAAACGGTATGTGTTAATACAAAACAAATAAAAACAAGACACCACATACCAAAAAATATAAAAAAGAACTATTTCTTATTTTCAAGCTTTATGAAACTTCCCGCATTTATGATTATATTTATTAATATAACTTATGTACAAATACAAATATGTAATATTCCGCAGGAATAAATAAAACAACATAAATAAAACAAACTATTTTATTAATAATAACATTTACCAAATTTTATACCTCACAGGTTGATTAATTAACTTTAATCTTAATTTTTTTAAACCAGCACCTTTTGACTAAAATCCATTATTTACCTATCGTGTGATGTCGATATTTTACAGCTGCTCCAGTTTTTAGTATGTGTTTAGTATGGCCGTTCTACCATATTCGAGATGCACTTATCTACAACGAGATGGTATACGAACTTTATTGATAGTAACTTTATTGGTGTATCTGTATAAGACTTTCTACCTGGGTAGCGAGTATTAACCATAAACTCTGCTCTGGGTTCTACAGTTAATTTTCACAAAAGACACAAAACACACGTAATAACACGAATCAAAATGCATCATCTTCCAAAACGCAGGGTATTTGACAAAAGTTGTCACAAAATTATAACCTATAATTTGGCAAGACTTTGACAAACGTCAAAAATCTAAAGGCGAGTTCATACGCATCGGCGTCCGTTTGTCGTTCATCGTTCCGTCAAACCAATAAAATTGAAATACGATCTGTCATTTTTGAAATAAACCAATAAAACTGGTTAAAAACAACAAGTGACGACGCATGACGAATTTATATTTAAACCCATCCATAGTTAACTTAAAAATTATTAGAAACTTTCTTTGAATAAGAAGACTAAGGAAGGAGCATAATGCTATCCATGTATTCATGCATGGTGGGCGGAAAAGGCACCATAAAAGCTCTCTAGGGTGGGGATCCTTGACAGTTCTGTTTGACGATTCGTTTGACACATTTGAATTTGATTTGAAATTTTGTGGATTTGTCAGTCTTTATGGAGCTTATTTTATGTTATTTATTATTTATTCTACTACTGATAGTTGTATAAAGGTAGTAAATCTAGATGGAAATTGTGGCAGAACTTAAATTAACAGTGACACTATCGCGATTTATCGAAAAAGACTCTAAAATAGTTGGTTGTGTAGCGTGCAGTAGATTTCGCCAAAAATTGAGTGAAATAATGGAACAACTTTTCGCTAGTAAGTGACTATATAATATACATACGTGTAATAAACCGATCATTTATGAAATTCACTTAAATTAACTAAATTATATATTTTTCTTGCATTTTAGCTTTTATTTATTACTTGTCAAAGATTAGATGTCAAAGAATTTAGATACGTTAATTTGACTTACCTGCTTCAGTAGCGTATCGGATGTTTGTGTTAATAAATACTTATTATAACTTATCTATTTTTATTAGAATTATATATTTTTATAACAATTTTAATAACTACCAACATTTATTCACAACGTAAAATAAAACAACAAATTATTGAGTCTACCCCACGTCTACCCTACATCATAGTTTTACATTTTTTAAATAAAATTAGAACGACACTGATAAACCGGAATTTAAGTCGGCCATATTTGGGGCCCATCGCGGTGTACCTAAGATTTTTGATATGCTCCTTCCTTAGTCTTCTTATTCAAAGGAAACTTTTTTTAGTAAAATAAATAAATTGGTATGGGACGTCATCTGCTTTTCTTCTGTCATCGTCTGTCGAAATCTTACCTGAGAAAAAAAGTATAGCAGACCTTGCAGTCGAACATTGTTCTTTTTAGAACCTCTTTTAGTGCGAAGTGGTACAATATAGCTTAATAGCCGTAAAAAAAGCTCATTGCAATTTTATTAGAACATTTTGAACGGGAAAACGATAGTAATAGCCCTTTATGTCCCTTAAGTGTTATTATGAAGGTGGTTTTTGTTGATGTAAATAATAACTGTTTATAAATTTATAATTAATTTATTTTTGTTTCCTAAAATCATTTTTATTAAAAGAAAATATGTAAAAGTAGGCAACGCTGTACCGGTTAAGCTTAATCACGTCACTAAAAATTTATTTGGAATGAACTGTATATATGGTTAAAATGCAATAGCAATAAAAGACAAAAACTAATAATATTTCAGGCATATATTTACAAGGAAAAACAATTTATGTACAATAACAGTCAACAAAATAGATCACTACGTGCTATCTTAAAACACCAAAGGAGCTGCATAAGGAGCAGCATAAGGAGCTGCGTAATGCGCCGCGTATGGAGCTGTGAAGTAAGGACTGGCTACATAAGGTGCTGGAGCAGCTACCAAGGGAGCTGCAGCTCGGACAACTGGAGCTACAGGCGCGGCTGCTACAACAGGAGCTGGAGCGATCAAGGGAGCGGCCAGAGCGTTGTAGTTCCTGGCGATGACTTGGGAGCTTTGAGCGGTTACTACAGCAGGAGCTACAGCGGGAGCTGCTAGCAAGGGAGCCGCTGCGAGAACGCTGGGTTTGGGAGCAGCTAAGGTGCATGTGATGGTGGCGAGGACAAAGATAGCGACCTAGAATATAATTAAAAACAAAATAAATTTTATGACTTATTTAATAATAATCTATACTAATATATAAAATCCTTAAGTGACTGACATACTGATTAATCACGATCCTGCTCAAACCACTCAACATAAGAAGCTCAATTTTGGCATACAGGTTGATTCTAGGGTGTTGAGTGTGAGTATAGGTTTGATAAGAAGGGATTTTTCGAAATTCCAGTTCCAAGAGGGTGAAACCACCCCTCAAATATTACAATATTTTTTATTTAAAAAACGGTCAAGTTTCCGAAAAAACGCTTAAACACGTATATTTTATTTTGTTTTTCTACATATTTTAAGATTTTTTAAAAATGTATACAGGGTGTTTCGAAAAATCTGGTCATTGATTAATCACGATCCTGCTTAAAGCGCTTGACGTAAAAAGCTGATTTTTTGAAAACACTTTAGGGTGTAGAGGTTCGATAAGAAGGATTTTTCGAAACTCGAATTCTAAGGGGTGAAACTATCCCTCAAATATTAAAATATTTTTATTTAAAAACCTGTGAGTTTTTCGGAAAAACTCTTAAACACGTATATTTTATTTTGTTGTTTTACATATTTTAAGATTTTTTATAAATTTATACAGGGTGTTTCATAAAATATGACCATTGAGTAATCACGATTCTGCTTAAACTGCTTGACGTTTAAAGCTGATTTTTGGCAAACGGATTGACTGTGGGGTGTAGAGGTTCGATAAGGAGGGATTTTTCGAAATCAAATTCCAAGAGGGTAAAAACGGTATTTAAAAAAAAAATATTACAATATTTGTTATTTAAAAAACGGTTAGTCTTTCGGGAAAACGCTTGGACAAGCATAATTTATTGTTTTTTTTACATATTTTGAAATTTTTTAAAAAATCATACAGGGTGTTCCAAAAGGTTGGGTAATTTCTTAACCACGATTCTGCTTAAACTGCTTGACATAAAAAGCTTATTTTTGGCAAACGGATTTTTCGAAAGTCAAATTCCAACGAGATAAAACTACCCCTCAAATATTACCAAGTTTTATAATAATTTCGCCATATTGTTTTTTCTCATGCTGACATAAATGTGAGAAAATTTTATCCAGTTTTTAAGTTAATGGAAATTCTTGGTTTGCTTTATCATCACCATTACAAATGATTAATTCGACGCGAACGAAGTCGCTTGTACACGCTAGTTAATTTATAAATTTTTTATAATTGAATACAATTTTTAACCGCAATTGTCTCAAAAAATGAGATAAGGTAATTAATCAATACAAAATGACTATTTACCACTTGCAATTTGCAATACTACCATATCATAAAAATTCATATCTTTTTAGTATCTCCTTACATCTGGTTCTATTGAAATGCAGCAATAATTTAATATAATATCACTAAATAATATAAAAAATGTCTATACGTAATAATGTCCCAAGCAGCATTTGGACGTCGGGACAACGTTGTGTCACGCGACCAAACGTCGGGGCGCAACGTCGGCACAACCTCGTGCCAACCCTAGTCTGCACTAGTTTGGAGAATAATTTTTGGGTCGAAACGACGTTGGATACCGACGTTGGCTAGAAGCCTAATTTAGTACAAACTGCAACGTTGTTTAAAATCCTAATTTACAGAAATACAAAACTAATATGGCGTCTAAGTCGCGTTTTATCCTAACTTGGGATAATTATAGTAAAAATATTATTTTTATGATTTAGTTAGAGACATATGTCAGATGACAGTGAAGGAAAACAAAACAAAAGTATTTGAGTGTGGAGGATGTTTGAAGATCATAATTATTGAAACACCTTAACCGACTCTGTAACTCGTTAGCCAAGGCAAAAAAGTTAAACGTAAACAACTTTATTGATAAGTGTATTGTTTCTACTTTGAAAAATACAAATGGGCCTTAAAATTAAAGAAGTTTTAAAAATTTTCTTGAATTTTTTTTTTAGTAAAATGAGAATAATTTATTCGCAGTCGAAAAAATTGTTTCCGCGTGTTTTTTAGGGTCAAATATTTCAAGTTAATGTATTCAAAAAGCAGGAATTGCTATTTTAGGAACGAAACATTTTCTTATTTAACAACATGGCGGCTTTCGCTTTGTTGTTTTGGAGATTAAGATGGAGTAGTTCGAGTAGTCGCATACTGGACTAATAAAGTCGCAGTTCGGCCTTAACAGGTAGTATACTAGTCGCAAAATTGCCTAATTTAGTCATCCTAGAGTCTAGCTTGTGCCGCCCTCTATAATCTAAATAAACGAGGGAGTGGATAAACTATCGGTAATATATGTCGATGTATATTTAAATTTAGTTTAATATGTACCTTTCTTATGTCCCATTTTAATTAAGTTTTTTTTTATTAAAACAAAAACAGCTCTGAACTGTCTGACTGAACAGAACAATGAAGTGAAAATTTAAGATTTAATGTTATGGTTCAATACAGTTGCAAAAAGGTAGTGACTCGACGTCCTACCAACGTAAGAATAAGGAAATCTAAACAACGTTGGAATTAGTAAACCAGACGACGTTTGCATAACGTTGGAATAGGTCCTGAAACTGACGTCGGAAAACTCTATATTGTGCAACGTTGTAACTACGTTGTCCGAATCACCTAAAGATCACTTAAGCAAAAAAGGTTACAAGACAACGTTTATTCGACGTCGCAGAAGCTTCTACTTTGCTGTAGTACTAGTCCAACGTCGGCACAACGTTATAAAAACGTTTAAATTTATTTTAATACCAAAGGTAGGGAACTAACTATTTTTTGTAACTAATCCAACGTTGTGTTTAGTAAACATGTGGTCGCAAGTCGTGAAAATGCTACTTGGGGTTTAAACCGGAAGTCTCAGAAAGATAAAAATATTTAAAAAATATACACTTTTTGAAGTATCTTTACCCTAAATCATTTAGACTTGTATCAAAATTATTATATCTAAAGAATCTCAGGCTTATTAAATAGCAAATATTTTAGTGTACTGTAGTTTGTTTATAATTAAATTTTGAATATAATAAAACAAATCAATCAAATAGATAATGCAACAAATTGTACTTACGAACTTGAACATTTTGTTAAGGGTTGGTTTGGTTGATTGTATCAAGACACAAGAGAACAGGAATTGATAATGCCAAATTGTAAAGACAATTTCGTTTTATATGATCGAAATGTCGAGTACAGACCCCACCTTGTCGGGTATTTTGGGTCAGTTTTGAAACACTTTCGGCAGGGACACGAGTGAATACAGACGATTTTTAATTGATATTCATTAGACGATTGAAGATTCTTGCGATAGAAATGGTATGTGACCTGATGGTGTAATGATTTGGAGCATTTTTTTGTATATCGATCAAACTTAAATTAACACTTTGATTTTAAAATAATGAATACTTGTTAATTAGTTAAATACAAATATATACAGGGCAGAAGTATAGTACAATATACAATAGTAGAAGATAGTATATTATTGAACAAGCAATTTATGCTAGCTGAATAATGGCTATAAATTGCGAGTTGAATACTATACCTTGTCCACGGGCATTATAATAATTATGAGGCGTGTTTGAATTTGTATTTTTAATTTTAATCTTACTATTAATTATTGTATTCATGTTTTAGGGGAAAATTATTAAAATTAAAAATAAAAAAAATATATTTTTAAAATTTATTTGGCAATTTCAATACTATCTTCTACTATTATACAGGGTTGTTCACCACATACGACACGGAGTATTGTAGCTAAACGATGAGATTTTTACAAATTGTAAGTTTTGGGTTCGATGAAGGATTATTAGAGGTACAATTTAAAAATAATTTTACAAGATACAGAGTGTCCCAAATAAGTAAAAAATATCAAAGTTGTATTTTTTTAAATGGAACACCCTGTATATTATTTCATTTTTAGTTTCTACGATTAAAATAAAGGTAAATTTGATTAAGGTTTATTATACTTAAACCTTACCGTTTTTGAAATATTTTCAATTTTGTGAAATTGCAGTCAAAATTTTAAGGCTTTATTTCTCCAAGGGTATCAAAGTTTTTAATACTATATATATTTACTGAAGTTCATTTATTGGTCAGTTATTGTGTTGCAATAATAAAAATTATACTACCTTATACAGAGTGCCTAAAAATTTATTTTAAATAATTATTAGCTTCAAACGGCAATAACTTGTTTAATTTAAACGGAACACCTTGTATATTTTACGAGAATCAGATGCACAATTTAATTGTCTATCAAATTATATTATACCATTTTTTACCTATCTCTTTAAGTTTCCGTAGAAAATGCATTTTCTTGTAATTTAGAACTTATTTATCAATATACCCATGGAATATGACATTTTAGATTATTTTTAAAGATGTACCAAATTTTTAAAGAGTACAGATACTAATATTGTCGATGTAATTTGTTTATTTTATTAAAAAATTAAAAAAACTGTTTAAATATTTGTTAAAGAGGACCAATTAATATGATTCCAGTATTCAAACTACATTAACTGACTGTTTGCGTTGATTAATAGTAATTGCTCCAAATACTAAAAAACTGAATTTTGTATGGGTATCAGACAACGTGATAAAAAGAAACACCTTAAAAATGATATTTCATTTTTTAATAAATACTTATTTATAACAACAGAGACTTTAATTTTGATAACTTATTATTATATTGATTTCTGACTCAAATCCACATTTATTTAGAATAATTTATTAACGAACACAATTAAGTATGTAATTAATTAGTATATGGGCGGAAATAATGGTGTTATATTTAATTAATCTATAAAATAAAAGATTTAAATAGTTTTCTTTTTGCATACAAATGGGCTAGTAATATTATCGTTTTGCTAAAAACGATAATATTACTAGCCTGTACATTTTGTACATTTGTTGCTTTAAAAACAATCTAAAATGTCAATATTCCATGGGTATATTGATAAATAGGGTCTAAATTATAAGAAAATGCATTTTCTACGAAAACTTGAAGGGTTAGGTAAAAAATGGTATAATACAATTTGATAGACAATTAAATTGTGCATCTCATTCTCCTAAAATATACCGGACGTTCCATTTAAATTAAAGAAGTTATTGGCGTTTAAAGCTAGAAATTATTTAAAATAAATTTTTAGACACTCTGTATAGGGTAGTATTATTTTTATTATTGCAACACAATAACTGATCAATAAATAAACTTCAGTAAATATTTAGTATTAAAAACTTTAATACCCTTGGAGAAATGAAGCCTTAAATTTTTTACTGCAATTTCCCAAAATTGAAAATATTTCAAAAACGGTAAGGTTTAAGTATAATAAACCTGAATCAAATTTACCTTTATTTTAATCGTAGAAACTAAAAATGTAATAATATACAGGGTGTTAATAAATGTATATGTTCCCTTTAAAAAATATCAAGTGTATAGTATCAATCCAAGACTTGTTAATTTGGCCGCCTCTGCTATCCCTGGTGCTGGTAATAGTAGTAAAAACATCACCGGTGAAGCTGTGGGAAACCCCCTAGCGACACTGGGAACAGTAACAATGAAAGTTCCAAGGGGCCAAACCCAAAGAAAACTACAGGAGAGGTGGCTGGCACTTGCGTGAGACTATCCTCCGCAAGTGGCATACAAGCTACCACCTCCTCCAAGGGTCGGGAGCCTACCTCCTACCTCTAAACCCAACAGGCGACACAAGCTACCGTTTCGTCTACCCGGCCTGGGTCGTAGTTCCTCGACTGTGAGGGACACGGGTCTCCGTAGGAAGTCCTGGGACTGTATGATGAGTTATAACTCAAGAAAGGGGGACACAATAGATCTCTAAGGTCGCAGAGATTAACCCCCCTCCCACTTATTCTAAATTCTATCCCTGGTGCTGTACAGGGCTCATTACCACTCTCATAATTCATTTTTTGATTTTAAATGAGTTCTTGATATGCCACTTAATAATCACTACCTACTTGACATTGGACAATTTTAAACGTCAAAATTAATAAAATGAAAAGACACCACGGACAATTTTTCAGTTGATTTAACTTCTTATAATAGAATAATTGTTAAAGTGTGGAACCCAAAGACTGCGCTGGCGTCTGGCAGAGCTATTTAACCAGTGCTGCCTGCAAAGTAAACTACCCAGAGAATGGCGAGTGGCTCACATAGTGTCCATCTTTAAAAAGGGAAATCGTAACGACCCCACTTGTTATAGAGGCCTAAGCATTAACAGTTCGGTCAGCAGACTTTTTGGAAAGGTGCTACAGGGTAGGCTCAGGGACAGTATTGGTGACAAAATCTCGGAAGACCAAAGCGGATTCGCACCGGGGAAATCTTGCATAGATAACCTTTTTGTCCTGCAGCAGGTGATGGAAAAAAAGATAGCAGTAGATCAAGAAGTCCATCTAGCATTTATTGATTTTGAGCAAGCGTACGACTCTATTCCCCGCAGCAAGATATGGGAAGTCTTGAATATCTTAGAAGTAGATAGACCTTTGCTTAAGATAATAAAAGAGCTATATAAAGAAAATGAATCGTACGTTAAGTTATGACACAGGCTATCTAATCCAATTAACACCACAAAAGGGTTGCGACAAGGATGCAGCTTATCTCCTCTGATCTTCAACGCTTACGTCGAAGTAGCCCTAAGGGAATGGAAGACAAAATGTCAAGGTATGGGAATACCTATTGGGGACAACACACTATTTACCCTGAGCTTTGCAGACGATCAGGTCGTGATTGCGCAGGACTCATACGATCTAGAGTTCATGACTAAGAGGCTTTATCAAAAATACAACAAATGGGGACTTCAGGTTAGTCTAAAGAAGACCGAATACTTAGCTGTCAATTCCAACGCTTGTTTTGAAGTCTTCATTAATGATAACGTCCAGATTAACAAGTAGACAAATTTAAATACCTGGGTGCTACTATCAACAACGACGGTTTGGGCAAAGAAGAAATACAAACCCGAATTCAGAAGAGCAAACAAGTTATTGGATGTCTTAACAGCCTCTGGTGGGACCGAAACTTATCTGCAACAACTAAAAAGAGACTTGGAAGAACATTGGTGGAGTCAGTTCTTTGCTATGGTTCAGAGCTGTGGACTCTGAGTGCAGACGCGAAGCGCAAAATCCAAATTGTTGAAATGGACTATCTTAGAAGAAGTGCAGGTATATCTAGGATGGAAAAAAAGACAAACATCGACGTCAGGCGTATTATGAATGCATCGGAGGAGACAGTACTGGATCGAATGGAAAAATCCAGCTTAAAATGGTTTGGACATGTTCTGCGTATGCCGGAGAATAGGTGGCCAAAAAGAGTTTTTCAATGGGCTCCCCAGGGCAGAAGAAAGAGGGGTAGACCTAGAAAATCCTGGAACGGAACGGTTACGGAAGCAATGGAAGCTCGTAACCTAGAAGCTGATGACGCTCTAAATCGAGATCTGTGGCGTAGGGTAACGGGAAGGCAGCAATAGGCTGTAGTTGGAAATGAGTATTAAATACTTAAACCAAATCCCGTTTATATATATAATAGGAGAGAAGTAGTAAAGAAGTAGTAGTTTAAAAAATGTGATTGACCTTAAGAAGAGTTTCTTTTTTAAAATAATTGTCATATAATATTTCATGACTGTTTCATTACATATTCTGTGTTTACCTATCTTTTTTTTGTCGTTTAGATTATAGGGCAAATAATGATGAAACATATAGAACAAAGAAATCTTTTATTTACAATAATATATACAAAATTTTGTGTCAAGTCTTTTACTCACTCATTGGTTTTTATCTATGTTGGTCTTCCAATCAAAAATACGGCCCTTGTATTTGCTGTTGAGTATTAAATCCAGCTGGTCCTTGAGACCCAGAGGCATCATTCTCTTGTCTTTGTTGTTGCTGCTGCTGCTGTTGTTGTTGAGATCGAACCAATTGTTGTTGCTGTTGCTGTTGAAATACACCTAATTGTTCTTGTTGAAATTGAGGTTGAAAACTACCAAAAAATCCTTGAGGAATATTTGACCTCACAGGCACAGAAGATAATCTCTCGTTTTGACCATTTTGTTGAGGATATAATTCTGCTGACTTAAATAACTGATTTTGTTGCTGAATTCTGCCAAATACTTGCTGATTGAGTTGAGCAGCATTAGATTTTGGTTGATTTGACTGTTGCAGACGAGCCGAATTTTGTAGTGAAGATCCTCTAGGTCCTTGAGGCACAGCTCTCAATCTTGCTGACTCAATTTCAATTGAATCTTCAGGATTTGAAGCTGGAATAGATGGGTTAACTGGCTGCGCTGGAACCACAGGTCTGGCAACGGTAGCTGGTAAAACTTGACTAGCTAAAATTGGAGCTGCCCGTGATAAAAAGGGACTTGTAGCATATGTAACTTGTGGTGCAGATATTAAAGGAGCTGCAGCTGATACAATAGGACTTGGTGCTGCTACAAGACGAGAAGTAGGAGCTACATAAGGAGCTGAGACTAATCTGGCTGCTGGTGCTACAACTGGAGTTACTTGAGATACAAACGGAGCTGCCTGAGCTACGTATCTCGTAACAGGTGCAACTGGGACAGTAGGAGCTACAAGTGGCGCTGCAAGGGCGTTGTGTGTTTGAGCAAAGTACTGCGAACTGCGAGCGGATACTACAGCAATTGGGGCTACTTGGGCTGTAGGCAGTAACTCAACAGCATCTCCGTGAATTTGAGTTACACCCAGTAGAAGAATTGCGATCTAAAATTGAGAGATATTATTTGCAAGATAAAATATTGTAGAGGATAATTTCTATATATACAGGGTGATCCAAATTGTATTCGGAAAAATTAGGCAGCATATTCTGCAGATAAAAATAATTACCGGGTGTAGAAGTTTTATTTTTATTTCGATTTTTTCCAAATAATTTCAGAACTAAGGTCAGATATTGGGATAAAAATGGGTGTCTGGGTGTGTTATACAGGTACGGATGGAAAGTTATTAATCTTCAAAACAGTTAAAAACATGTAGGTAGCGCTTCTTTATAAGTAGGAGTCATATTGACATCGAAATGAGATTTCTCTCTCAAAAAACACCTAGACACCAATTTTCATCCAAAAATCTATGTTAGTTCGGAAAATACTTGAAAGAAATTGAAATAAAAATTAAACTTCTACACCCTGTATCTCCGAAACGACGCATTTTAGAATGTCAATTTATACGAACTTTTCTTTATATGAATTTATACGATTTCGTGTTTTTATCTGAAAAAATAAAAAAGTTATAGGGGGTAAGCACTGATTGAAAACACCGATATATGTAGATCTAACCCTAAAATTGCACTAAATAAATAAATAAACAAATTTATTTACTTACAAGGTTGAACATTTTGTACAATCTTATTTTTTCTCTTACTTTAAACTAAACAAGTAATTGTTGTGATTGTGATAAGACATTGAGACCAATATATATTTATATAAATGAAGAACCCCACCTGGTTCAACCCGAAAAAAGACCTTTTACAGAAATAAGTTCTAGGACAGAATCTTTAGTAACATAAGAATAATTATTGAAGATTTACCTATTGGTATGCAGACAATCAAAGACATAGAATCATAGAATTGAGAAATCGGCGTAATAAACAATGAGCTTCTTGGGTAATGCACAATTATTTTGGGTTATTTAGAATACGTTTTGCATAGATTTGTACTTTTTTCAACACGTTCGGACTATTTACTATAACATTTCAGTAAATCTAACGTTATTTTAGGTTCTTTCAATGATTTTATCATTTTTATTTTTAAATTTTTGGAGATTTTCGTATAATAATCCTGAAAATCCGACAATTTAAGATTGTTTTGATATGCAAAATTTATATTTATATATTAAAATATGTCTTTGGATAAATAATTTAGCATTAAATATATGCTGATTTGTTTTTGTTTAAATTGTAGGCCTTGGAATGTAACAATTTGAGTCATCAGGATAAAATTAGTGGAAATCAGTCTAAAATGTTACAAAATATGCCATATTATGTACACAATACAGGGTGATCCACTTTATATCAGCAGAAATTTAACAGTTTTGAAATTGTCTTAAAGATTTTCAAAAAATATTTTTTGACAGCATTTAAACCACTAGAAAAAACCTCCAAAATATAAAAATTATAGAGTAAATTTTACCACCGCAGACATTTTGATGAATTTTTTTGCAAGAAATGAATCTCCACAAAGGTATACCGGGTGCGTCTCAAAAGTGGCTCGCTCATATAACTTTTTCATTTTTTTCAAATAAAAAAACGATATTTGGTATGTTAGTATATGACATAAATTAGGACTGATTGACGTATTCAATTGTTTTTGGTCACTTCCTGTTTCACCGGAAATGATTACAACTTTTGATTTTTAAATGGTACCCTCGTTATATTTCTGTCTTATTCGCTAGAAAATCACACTCTGAATAGAAGGACTAAATATCATATGTCAACTTTTGACAAACAAATTAATTTAAAAACAAATCGTATTTTAAATCTCTATGTAGAGTGCCATGGCTGTGTTAAAAACACTAATTTTTAATCAAGGAGCTTTGGAAAAATAGTTTTGATCGTCTAATGTTTTTCGTGGGTTGTCCTGGCCGGTTAATTTGTTATTATTAATTTTGATGAACGTTATATTTTTTGTTCTTGTTAAAGTATCACATTTTCCGATAAACAAGAACAGCAAAAAATATGACGCTAACTAAAATTCTACCAATTACAATCTATTAAAAAACGAAAACGAAATTATATTTCCATAGAAACGCATTTTGATTTTTAGGACTTTTTCTTTTTCTTTTTCCTCTTGTAAAGACGATCCGGGGACATACTGTATAATACAAATTTTATGGAAAACTTTTAATTAATTGTTTCACATCATTTGATGAACTTTTGATATATGACTGATATATGTATTTTGTATCGAAATATTTCGGATTTGATAGACTTACAGAGTGTCTCAGTAATAACTTACATAATTTTAGACAAATCTATACTAATATATAAAATCCTTGAGTGACTGACATACTGATTAATCACGATCCTGCTCAAACCACTCAACGTAAGAAGCTCAATTTTGGCAGGTGTAGAGTGTGTAGATGTAGGGTGTAGAGGTTCGATAAGAAGGGATTTTTCGAAATTCCAGTTCCAAGATTGTGAAACCACCCCTCAAATATTACAATATTTTTTATTTAAAAAACGGTCAAGTTTACGAAAAAAACGCTTAAACACGTATATTTTATTTTGTTTTTTTACATATTTTAAGATTTTTTAAAAATGTATACAGGATGTTTCGAAAAATCTGGTCATTGATTAATCACGATCCTGCTTAAAGCGCTTGACGTAAAAAGCTGATTTTTGGAAAACAGATTGACTTTAGGGTGTAGAGGTTCGATAAGAAAGGATTTTTCGAAACTCGAATTCTAAGGGGGTGAAACTATCCCTCAAATATTAAAATATTTTTTTATTTAAAAACCGGTGAGTTTTTCGGAAAAACTCTTAAACACGTATATTTTATTTCGTTGTTTTACATATTTTAAGATTTTTTATAAATTTATACATACAGGGTGTTTCATAAAATATGACCATTGAGTAATCACGATTCTGCTTAAACTGCTTGACGTTTAAAGCTGATTTCTGGCAAACGGATTGACTATGGGGTGTTATCGATAAGGAGGGGTTTCTCGAATCTCAAATTCCAAGAGGGTGAAAACGCCCCTCAAACATTACAATATTTGTTATTTAAAAAACGGTTAGTCTTTCGGGAAACGCTTGAACAAGTATAATTTATTTGTTTTTTTTACATATTTTGAATTTTTTTAAAAATCATACAGGGTGTTCCAAAAAGTTGGGTAATTGATTAACCACGATTCTGCTTAAACTGCTTGATGTAAAAAGCTTATTTTTGGCAAACGGATTTTTCGAAAGTCAAATTCCAACGAGATGAAACTACCCCTCAAATATTACCAAGTTATATAATAATATCGCCATATTGTTTTTTCTCATGCTGACATAAATGTGAGAAAATTTTATCCAGTTTTTATGTTAATGGAAACTCTTGCTTTGCTTTATCATCACCATTACAAATGATTAATTCGACGCGAACGAAGTCGCTGGTACACGCTAGTCCTATAATATTTTTAATAATAATTTTACGCAAAAATTGAATTTACAATCAAATTGATTATTAATGAGATCGTAGAGTCAGTTGTACATAATTTATAAAATCAATTATAAGTAATTTAAATAAATAAGCAGTTAAAAATTGGTATTTGGTATTTCCGTGCAAAAATATTTGAAAAACTTTTGAATGCTATTTTGAGTTACTGTGTATAACCGGATCAAGACAAAAATCTGCCTAGACTATTTTAAATTTATTAATGAATTTTTGGTAGGTATTTAAGCTAATAGGTGGATCACGGAGAAGAATAGTTAATTTTTGTCCTAATTTGAAGTAGGATCTATCCCGAAATGTACAAAACAGTAAGTTTAAATTAATATTTTTAATATATTGATTTCTTTTCTTCTTGCCTACAGTTAAGTAAAATAATTTTTAAACAATAAAAATCTAAACAACATGGTTTTTTAAATATTTTAGTACAATTTTTTTATGTGATAATTATTATACACCAAGAAAAATATAGTGTTTTGTTCAAAAAAATCTGATTAATAACTTATAACGGGGATAAAACTATTTGCAGACTGTTTTTGGTATGGATTGATGTAATTTAATAATATTTATACTGTACATTGTAGTGTATATTTCTTGTGGTAGAATCAAAAATAAGTAATAGTAGTCTGTTATATTTATCTTGTTCTCAGATATTTAGTTGAATAGTTTGAATACCTTAATAATTTTTCTTAATAAGGTTTTATTTTTTTTTGTAAAAAATTGCCATGTGTGATGCAAATTATGAATAACATCATTTTCTTTCAAAATTACTCAACTTGTATAAAAAATGTATAAACAATAAATTATTTTTAAAAAGGTCCGATTAAATTTATATCTCCGAAACTAAAGTTCCAAAAAAATTCGTAATATATCTAGAAATTCATTTACCCACTAGTAGTTATAAAAAGCATTTTTGGTAAACTCTGTCTCTAATAGTTTCTGAAAAATAAAATTAATTTTCTTAAAAAGGTCCGATTAAATTAATATCTCCGAAACTAAAGTTCCAAGAAATGTCGTAATATATCTACAAATTCATTTACCCACTAGTAGATATAAAAAGCATTTTTGGTAAACTCTGTCTCAAATAGTTTCTGAAAAATAAAATTAATTTTTTTAAAAAGGTCCGATTAAATTTATATCTCCGAAACTAAAGTTCCAAAAAAATTCGTAATATATCTAGAAATTCATTTACCCACTAGTGGTTATAAAAAGCATTTTTGGTAAACTCTATCTCTAATAGTTTCTGAAAAATAAAATTAATTTTTTTAAAAATGTCCGATTAAATGAATATCTCCGAAAGTAAAGTTCCAAAAAAATTCGTAATATATCTAGAAATTCATTTACCCACTAGTAGTTATTTTAATAGTTATTAATAATAAGCAGGCTATAAAAATACATTTTGACATTTAGTATTTTGCCCAATAACTTCTCACGATGTACAGGGTGGGTCAAATTCGACGCTTTTAAATGGAAACACCCTTTTCTATAGGAGATAGACAAAAACTAATATCGGTGTTTGGAGCTCAACTTTTGTCAAAAACATGATGGTGAAAACCGCATATCGATATCTGTTACCGTTTCGGAGTTACGGGGTGTTTTTCAAAAATATGCATTTTTAACAAATCGCTGTAACTTTTTTGCTATGGAAAATTTTGTATTTTTATGAAAACATTTCCAAAGCACCTTTTTACGTAGAATTTAATGGTTTAAGTATATTTTTTTTAAAATTAATAATCTAAGAATTATCAACAGAAAATTTGATTTTTTATATGGGACACCCTGTATATTTTTAATTTATTGAAAAGAATTTAAAATTAAATTTTCAAAAATATAACACACTTGATATTTTGCTCGATTCCTCTTCGAGATATAGAGTATATAAAAATTCGCCGGCTTTAAATAAGTAGGCTTTGAACGGCACCGGCTGTAATGCAAAAAAATTCTAGCTGTGAGCATCAATTAAAACTAAAATAATATTTGCTATGAGAGATGCAGAATTTTATAACAATTTAAAATATATGTAACCAACATCAACACATCGAAAAAAAACGGCGTCCAGTTGGCTTGGAAATCACGATCGATGACATTTCCCATATAATTTTATATTTAAAATGACATCGATCTTCATTTCATAGCCATCGCTGACGCCGTTTTTATTCGATCATACGGTATATCTAATAACAATAAAAATAAATAGCAAACCAAGACATGAGATTTTGCTACATACAGATGTTCGACATATCGACCGTCTTCTGTAATGGACAGACGGGGCAGTTTTTGAACATTTCTCGCGGAATTCATCTCAGTGGGGATGAAAGATACCTTCTCATAACTGCTAAGTATTTCTAATTCTTGTCTAGATTATACGGAAGAATAAGGAACCTTTATTCTCCCGCAAATATATCCATAGGATTAGATTCATGGGCACTAAGTCAGGCGGCCTCGACGGCCAACGGCTGGGATCCTGGTTAGCTATTCAATTATTTTTGAAATTGTCTGCAAAAATTTGCTGATAACTTCCGCGTTCAGAGGCGGTGCGTCGTCTTGCTGAAAAATATGTTGTCGAGTTCCATTAAGGGCATATATCATCAATAAGGGGTCCAAAGCCTACTAGTTAAAAGTGGCGAACTTTTAAAAATTCTGTATTTCGAAGGGGATTAAACAAAATATCAAGTGTGCTATATTTTTGGAAAGGTAATTTTAAATTCTTTTCAGTTAATTAAAAATATAGAGGGTGTCCCAAATAAAAAATCAATTTTTCTGTTGATAACTCTTGAATTATTAATTTTAAAAAAAATATACTTAAACCATTAAATTCTACGTAAACAGGTGCTTTGGAAATGTTTTCATAGAAATACAAAATTTTCCATAGCAAAAAAGTTACAGCGATTTGTTAAAAATGCACATTTTTGAAAAACACCCCGTAACTCCGAAACGGTAACAGATATTGATGTGGGGTTTTCACCATCATGTTTTTGATGAAAATTGAGCTCCAGACACCGATAATAGTTTTCGTCTATCTCCTATAGGAAAGCGTGTTTTCATTTAAAAGCGTCGAATTTGACCCACCCTGTACAAGTCTGAAATTTATAAAGTCGTTTCGATAAATGGAGAACTTATTTATATTCTGTATAACTTCCGTCAAATTTCGTACTATTAAAATTTAATTTTTATTATTCTACTTCAAAAAAAGGTTGCTATTGGTCAGAAAAAAGAAAAAAATAGTTCATCTCGAAAGCTCAAAATTGGTGTGCTTATGTAAAGTTAAAAAAGAAACACCTGTTTCAAATAAAATTTTTCAATATTTGGTTCATAAATCTATTTTTTTGCTATTTTTCACTTTAACTGTCAAATTTGACAGATACCTCATCTATTTAAATAACGCCAAAGTCAACTTTTACTTAAATCTTTTTATAAAAATAATCCTATATGATATAGATTTGTGTATATGGACACTGTAGGACAGTGTGTATAGACACAGGACATTGCATATGATTAAAATTACTTTTTATTTTAGATTGTGATTTTTTCCTGCCTAGTAGCCCTTTGCCTGGCTACTCCACTTCCAGAACAACAAAAGAAAACCGACAAAAGATCTGTAGGCGTTGTAGTACCAGAAACTCACGCCGAAGTCTCCTACCAAAACGTTCCAGTAGTACGAAACGTCCAAGTACCAGTAACCAGACATGTTTCGGTTCCAGTGACCAGCAATGTCAATGTGCCAGTCGTCAACAATGTTCAAGTACCAGTAGTGAACTACAAAACACACTACACGTACCACGCTCCCTTAGTTTATAGTTCTTATGTAGTACCATCCAGTTATTATTCTTATTCTCTTTAATATTGTTTATAAGAGTTGTAAATATTTAAATAATATTTGTAAGATGTACCAAAATATAAAATGAAGTTAGGAATTGTGTTTATAGAAGCTTTTATTTAATTTACAATGTATTAATAATAAAAATAACCAATATATTGTAATAATAAAGGCGCCCGGTGGCGTAGAGGTATAGGCTCTCGCCTACCAATCTCAAGGTAGTGGGTTCGAATCCCACACCCGGCATTGCATCAGCCGACTATTTTTAATAAAATAAAAATAGTTTGGGTACATAGGTCGGCTCAGCCTTAAATGAGTACTTGTGATTCACAATCCTCAGGTAATAATAGGCGGTTGAAGCGTAGTGCTAGCCACATTACCTTCCTTGTATTCCGAACGGCTCTAGTATGGCAAGCCGTACCTTGCTACTCCTGAGGCGTTAAACGCTATATACGGGAGCTATTATTATTATGTATTGTAAAAAAAGATTGATTACAGTTGAGGGTTGGAACCTTTGGTGTTACACAGCAAAATAAAATACTAGATCACCACAATAACAGGTATAGCAATGGGTAATCCATTGTCTCCATTTTTGGCTAATTTATTCATGAGCAGGTTTGAAGTGGAGGCTAAGAATCAGTTTGAGTATTTTCCAAGAGTATGGTTTAGGTATGTGGATGATATTTTTGCTGTTTTTGACACACATTCAGACACCATAGATAATTTTATTTCTAAGTTAAATAATCGTTTTCCTTCCATTAAATTTACGCATGAAATTGAGAACAACGACAGATTATCATTTCTAGGTATTAGTTATTAGAAATACTAATAATTGCCTGGAATTTGATATCTATAGGAAAAATACGACCACACGCAGATATATTCCTAATGAATCACATCATAGTGTTGAACATAAAATGGCTAGTTTAAATTTCTTAATTCATAGATTACTTAGTTTTCCACTTTCCAACGAAAGATATGAAATAGAAAGAGATTACATTAGGAATGTAGCTGAGTGTAATGGATAGTCTCCTTCTCGGTCTCCTTCACTAGTTGATAAATTAATTAGAAAACGTAGGTATAGGTTAATGATTTCTGAAAATTCGACTTTTCAAGTGGAGAAATATATGTCTAAATATTTTTCGATACCGTTTGATAGAGAGTTATCCCGTGGTCTAAAAGGAATTTTTAAGAATGTCAATTATAAACTTGTGTATAGTGCTAATAATAAATTACAACAATTATTAGGTAATACAAAGGATAAAACACCTCCACTGGAAAGGTCGGGTATTTATGAAATTTCTTGTAAAGATTGTAATCAGAAATATGTTGGGCAAACTAGAAGATCAATATTAACTAGATTTAAAGAACATTTAGCTCAGATAAGATATGGTAGACCGGATAAATCTTGCGTTGCCGAACATATTGTTGATAAACAACATTGTATAGATCTTAGTAATTTAAAATTCATTAAACAAGTCTCAAATTACAGGCAATTAGATGCATATGAAAGCATCAAAATTAATAAATGTAAAGATAGTATGAACAGAGTCAACGGTCCAATTCCTTCAAGTTCTTTGTTCCTACTACTCTAGTGGCGGAAATCTAACTGTTACGCTCAGTGGGCTCTGACTCAGTTGGCTAGATTTTGCCACGCCCACTCGGTGCCTACTGGGCGAGTATATAAACGCTCAACTTGTAGGTTGTTCTTTAGTTTATAATCATCTGCTGATGATGCTAACATGGTTACCGAAACGCGCGTCCAGTGTAAAAGTAAAAGTGTTTTGGTGTATTGTGGTGATTTAGTGTTTTTATTTTGCACCACAATACACCAAAACACTTTTACTTTAAAAGTGTTTTGGTGTATTGTGATGATAGAAAAGTTTTTATCATCTGCTGATGATGCTAACATGGTTAGCGAAACGCGCGGCCAGTGTAAAAGTAAAAGTTTACGAACTCAGGAAAATAAATGCTTGATTTTCATTTTCCATTTGTTCCTTATTATATTATTGGGTCTTGTAAAGTATAAGTACCCACGAATTTAACAATTTTTTTTAGCAGAAAGTCCTATGCTTATAAAACAGTTTAAAAGAAAAAAAATCTTTGGATGCAGCACTTTTGAACCAAAAAAAAAAATAATTTAAAGATGCTAACCGATCTAATGATAAATCTAATAATATTTTTACAAAATCACAGTTAATTATTAAAATATAAAATACCCTCCACAAAGAAAAGCTAACCAAAGCAACCCTAATGCTAACCAATCTAATATTTTTGCAAACACACAGTTAATTATTAAAATATAAAAGAAAACTGCATGATCCAATGATTTTTTGTTTTGAATCAGCCCTATTTACGTAAAGCTTTAATAAAAAACAAGAATTAGTGCAACATTCCGAGATACATACATTATAGGTTTACAAGAACCTATATTATCTATTCTACAAGAATTGCTATTCCTTCGAAAGACGTTTTACCCCACTCAGCACCCCTACTCGCTCCTGGGTCCCGTAAGCTTCTAAACTGAAAAATGTATGAAAAACAAAGTGCACAAAAGGACATTGACACATTTCCGCAGGAATTGTTTTATATTTCTTTGCTCGTAACGGCTCGTATAAAACAAATATAAGTTCATTTTTCATATAACTGATTTCGGCTATTCTAAAGTCAAAGCATTTTTTTATGTAAAATAAAAATAAAAAATTTCCGCAGATATTTTTTTGTGTTTTTATGTTTAGAAAAATGTCTAAAACACACCCCGAAGACTAGTTTTGATGTAACAGATTTCGGCTATACTATTATTATTTATTTATTCGTGTCAGAAGCATCATCAAGATTACATTTCATATACATATAATATCACATACAACAACAATAACAACAATAATTACATATAATAATAATAATAAGTAAAATTGCAAACACAAAAGTTATACATGAAACCACAGTACATTAAAACATAGATATAAAACAAACATAGCATGTATAAACATCATTTGAGACGGGAAACTAAACATGTTTTGCCCAGAAGCGGGCGACGTCAATTGCGTTCGACTTTGCTGCCATAAGGTCCTCTATAGTGCACTTGGCGGGGCACAGTGGGCAAGTATACATATGTTGGGTGGTTTGTAGTGCTCCACATTCGCAGAGGTTGGAGTCCACATGGTAGCCCCACTTGGCAAGAGTGTCTCTCGATCTCGCTGTGCCCGTACGCAGTCTGTTAAGAGCTCTCCAAGTTTCCCAGTTTTCGTCGCTTCCTGGTGCCAATTGTTCCTTCGGCTCCATCCAATGTTGATTTGAGGTCTTCTCCCAAAGGTCCACATTGGTTCTAGGTTCCTCGTAGTCTTCTGTCGATCGCAGGAAGCTTTGCCTTGATTTCAGTCGCTGATGAGCGGGTTGGATGCCGTAGAGTAGGTGGCGTTCAGTTGCTGCTGCTTTGGATCGTTCTTTGAGTGCAGCTGCCTCTCTACGGATGGCAGGAGGGGCGATGCCAGCTAGATGGTGGATCTTGTCCAGGGGTGTTGGCTTTAAGCATCCGGTGATGATTCTGCTTGTCTCATTGAGGGCGACATCAACTTGTTTTGCGTGCGCTGATCTATACCAAACCGGGCATGCATACGGGCTATACTAAAGTCCGAAAAATGAAAATGACGCATTTCCGTAGGAAAATTTTTGTATATTTATACTCCTAACGCCTTCTAGAACGCATATATAAAGTCATTTTTTATATAACAGATTTCAGCTAAACGAAATTGGAGCCGCTGTTAGTAAGGTGCAAAAACTATTTTTTTTGTTTAATTTATAGTCTTTTTTTATATGAAAAATTATAAACTTTCGATAAATTAATTCAAAATTCGCAACCTCTATCACTTTAACCCTGATTACCTCTCGAATAATTCATTATTTTAAATAAATATAGTATTAGGACAGCATGAAGCTGCAGCTACAAAATCCACGTATCATCCCCAATTATTTTAAATAAAATTAAAATAAATTAAACTAAATACTTATGCGAAATTAATTCATACGAACTCGAAAAAAAGTCCAAAATCCTCTAAAAAAAATTAAACTTATTAATTATTAATGGTTTGATGCTAATTTAGACGGTGGCATCATTCAAAAATTGCATTAATATTAGGAACGCAGAAAACGGGAGAGCGAGTTTTTTAAACAATGATTTTTTGTTTATATATTTAGCGGTATCGATTTTTTGTGCAGGATGACACGCTGCAGGAACCTGTAGAGCGAAATTTTGCAGGAAATTTAGTTTAGGTGAGAGTTAATAGATGGCAGTTAATGTCTATAATAATCATTATTATAAAGATTGTGTGTGTGTGTACTCTATACCGGGTGTTGCATCGTCGGACGGGACATAGGAAATCCCTTGTAAATTTTAATGGGGTCAATTATTGGCTTCCCTAATTATTTGAGAGAATAATTCTATTTAGGTTTATTGAAGAGCACTAAAACCCACATTCAAAAGAATAACTTTAGATATTTTTGATTAGCTCGTTAACGAGTTATCGCCGATTCGTTTTTAGATATTTCTCCGTTCTTATGGCCCTGTATTAACTTATGAGCACCAGTCAAGGTCAAATGAAGTTGTAATTTCAGAAATTTACCGATTTAGTGCTTTATTATTATTGAAAACTCATTCCTACATCGGAAATCTTAAAGATGTATTTATAAATACAAATTAATATGAATTAAAGTAAAATAAAGTAATCAATTACAAGGTTAATTATAGTATTATTACAATATTCAATAACTTATTAATTTAGGTACTAGTATTAAATTGTTAGAACTTTAGGATTTAAACTACCTTAATTTGTTCATGAACTGGACGCTATCTCCAAAAATAATGAAGCTACAAAAAAATTCATGAGAAAAAGTTGCTTGCCCATTTATTATGAACAACTTTCATACGGGTCAATTTGCTGTAAAAGAAACTTTTTGAAAACCACCCCAAAGGGCTCATGAAACGGCCGCTACGTCCGGAAATAATAAACTTATAAAAAAAATCATTAGGCGAACTTATAGAGAATGTTATTATGTACAATTTGCGTCTAATTATATTGTTGTAGTACAGTTTAAAAAAAAACACCCCTATTGCTCAAAAACCGCAAGGGGAAAATTTCCGATTTTGTTTATTTTACACTCAGAAGACAGTCGCTGACAAACTCTGAAAAAATCAGCTTGCCCGTAATTTTTTTTTCAAATGAGAATTTTATTGGATAAAATATCATAAATTAAATCGTAGTAAATTTATATAAATTATTATTCAAACAACAGTCTCAACCTTCACAGCCTTTAAACACAACTTTATAACCGACTTCGTTTCACGAATATTGATGTTCCAAACGACATTATCCCCAATTAAATGATCACATGCCACCTACAATGCTATAGTTCCAACTACAGACTGTTTAAGGATCCAACCTTTAATTGCCTAATCCATATCTTTCTATGCCGATCGAGTTCAATGTAAAAAATATATTTACATTGATTAATTTTCAAAGTCGAACCCCCTGCAGGACACATTGCAGTCAATATTTATTGATTTAGTATAAATAGTGGTGATTGGGCAGTGATAAGGTACCAGTTTGCTTTGCTTGTTTTATAGTAACACTTCCAGTGTTCAGTTTTCGTGTTTGTGTACGATTTGGATAACACTCTAAACACCAAAATGCAGAAAATCGTAAGTTTACATATAAAACACTATTAATGCTATTTTTGTTATTATTTTCTATCAAATAACATCTTAGTTTTAATTAATAATAATTTTAAATATAATCATTCATAATAAAATAACTCAGAATTAAAAAACCATATACCGGGTTTCTCAAAAGTAGCTCACCCCTATAATGATTTTATTCTCTCAGATAAAAAAACTAGATTTGGTATGTTGGTATACGACATAAATTAGGATTAATTGACGTATTCAACTGTTTTCGGTCACTTCCTGTTTCACCGGAAATACCTATAACTTTTGATTTTTAAATGACACCCTCGGTATTTTTTTACTTTATTCCATAGAAACTTACATTCTGAATAGATTGTGGTACAAAATTATTCGTGAAAAATGTTGTCTCCAAATATGCTGAGCCACCATCGTTCCATTTGAAAAAATTAAGTTTTGTTTAAACATACAATTTTACAAGACATGGAAAACATTAGACGTTCAAATCTATTTTTCCAAGGCTTCTTGATTAAAAATTAGTGTTTTTATACATCCACTCCAGATTGAAATTTAAAATACGTTTTTTTCAAGTGGAAATGTCAAAATTTGACATGTAATTTTATTCAGTGTTATTTTCTATCAAATAAAATAAAAAAAATACCGAGGGTGCCATTAAAAATCAAAAGTTATAGTAATTTTTGGTGAAACAGGAAGTGACCGAAAACAATTGAATACCTCATATGTCATACCAAATCTCGTTTTATCTGAAAAAAATATAAAAAAAGTTATAGGGGTGAGATACTTTTGAGAAGCACCCTGTTTAATAAGTTATAATATCTAATAAAAATATGTTATTTTTATTTATTTTCTAGATCATCTTCGCTGCTTTCTTTGCTATCGCTTTAGCCACCCCCTTGCCAGAGGCTAATCCCGCCCCTGAGGCTAAGGCTGATGCTAAAGCTGACCCTAAGGCCAAGTCCCAGTTCATTGTCGACCCATATGTAGCGGCAGTGCCTGCAGTCGCTCCAGTGGCGTACACTGCGCCCCTGACCTACGCCGCTGACTATGTCCTGCCCTCCGTCTACGCCGCTGGATACGCGTATTCGCCGTACTACGCCGCTGAACCCGTTGTAGTTGTTTGATGATCAGGATTATTTTTTTTTGTTGATTTTTCGGATTTGTTTTGTGTAATTTATTGAAATAAATATTGCTCAATTATAATTTTAATGTGTTTTGATTTTCTGTAACCCTTAACTGGTCCGGTAATAGATATGTATCATAAACGGTCCGGTGTAGTCTGTGGGACTACGCCTTCTAAAAAGTGAAAAAAACACACAAAAACTAAAAAATAACAAATTTTTATTTTATTATATATTATATTATGTATTATTGAACTAATATAGACACAAATGGGTTCAATTAATATAAACTTTAAGAAAATATAGTACAAAATAAAATAACATAAATATAAATTTGAAAAAAAAACAATTCGATTTTTACTAAGCTCTAAAAAATTAAACCATATTACTAACAGTGATTACAATACAGAAATATGTTTTTAGTACTATATATAAAAAAAGTAAACTATAAAACTGAAGTTAAAGAAAAGGTTTTTAGTTACAGCATGAGGCAAAGTTCATGTTTGTTTTCCTGAACATATTTTACAAAATGGATTCGTACATTCTAGGCATTAAAAATAATTAAACTAGGACATAACATTGTCTTTAACTAGGATAAGAACTCTGGGATAAGAATATCTCCGTGGGCGTCTTCTGGTTGTACAGAAATTGCAAGTATTCTACCAATTGTAAAGTATATTTCTCTTGGAATATTGGACATTGTCAAACGCATTTGTCTGGCAGATTGTCATATTGTCACTGTCACAGTCCTCATCATATCATTTTAATAGAGTTTCTTCATAACTAGAGTTTCCTAAACGCACTCTTTTCGAAGGCCCGGCCATATTTTACAAAAGTTTGTCAAACACAAAATCTTACGCAAACGGTCCGGCGTCGTCTGAGAGACTACGGCATAAGTAACTTCTGCCATAACTTCTAAAAAACTAATCCAGTTTGGGCATAAATATGGCTATCAGTAGTTGACCGAGAGGGGGAGGATTAGCTGGAACGCCAATTGTGTGGGCGGTCCCAGTAACTAATGAGAATGAGTTAATTATTTGGCGTAGTCTGTCAGACGACGCCGGACCAGTTAAGGGTTAATTTTAAGTCAAACTAATAGTGGAGTGCTTTAAGCCCTTATGGGATACAAACCTCGGAATTCATTTACTGTGAACGAATTTTTATAAAACTTTTTGCATTGTATTATTAATAAGATATATTACAAAGTTTACCTATTTAAATTCGTTGCTTTCACTTTAGTATTTAAATAAACACACACATTGTAGTTTAAAAAAATATTTTTATAGATATACAGGGTGAGTCAAATATATATCATTTATTTATTCGAGTTCAGTGAATTTGCTATAAAATTCCGGTTCCAAAATACCTTAATACCATAGAGTATACTAAATGGTCTTTGAATTATGACCACGTCCATGAGGACGTCAATCTAGACGTCCAGGAATCTTCGTATGAGAACTTCTAATTACGAAAGCGTAGAGCTGCCATCGCAACATTGAAAAATATTTTTAGCAAAATTTACACTTTTTCTGTAAATTTACAGATTTTCTGTAAATTTACAGATTTTCTGTAAATTTACACTTTTTCTGTAAATTTACACTTTTTCTGTAAATTTACAGATTTTCTGTAAATTTACACTTTTTCTGTTAATTTATGCGTTAGTGGCAACAGTGGTGCGTTATTCTACGAGTAGTTCCCATCGAATTCTGTTCTACGCCAGTTTATTCACAAAAGTCTTTACTAGTAAAGACAGAATTAGGGAACCACTGCGGCAATTAATTGAAGGATTGAAGACATGCGGACTATATGAAAAGATTAAGCAATATCCCAGTATATTCAAAGATATATTTTGTTCTGAAACCACACTCTCTTCAAAAATACTTGAAGAATTATTCCTCATCGTCTATACTGAACCTGGGTCTAACATAGTACAGAAAATCGGGTGATCTCTTATTTTAGGGATTATGTATTAAATTTCGAATGTGTGTGATATAATAGTATGGCATTTTTTTGTTTAATATGTTTTCTAATATGCTTTTAATCGACCCGGAAAGTATTTTCACCCTTTCCGATGCATTACTGTTTGCAAGAGGATCTGATGGCCTCCACCTCTGGGATGACGTAAACTGTCGTCTGCAAATGATGTAAACTTAGGGCATAACCATCCTCTAGCAGACATGTCAAAATTTCTTTGTGACTTAATCCGATATGAAAGTAGGTTTTAATGTATTCGTCCATAATCTCTGATGAATATCTGTACTACTTAGGCACAATAGCAACTTCAGCAAATCAGCGGAGAACAATGCTCACTTGTAACTAGTGAGTAACGAGCAGGTCGATGCCGAGACGTCATTCTGCTGGGTAGTAAATTTCGCATGCAATTTACAGAAAAAGTGTAAATTTAACACATACAGAAAAAGTGTAAATTTACAGAAAATCTGTAAATTTACAGAAAAAGTGTAAATTTTGCTAAAATTATATTTCATTGTTGCGATGGCAGCTCTACGCTTTCGTATCTAATCGAGACGATCGACTTATTGTAAGTTTATCGCTAAGAAACCGCCGGCGCCGTTTGCCAGCTTTTCAAATTGATAATGAATTGCACTTAAGGACCGTACATATTAACTAACGGGCTACAAGAAGAAGATTAAATGAAGCAAATCTTATGTCAAGATGGCATGCTTCGGGACCAGAACTTACTAGATGTGTTGACTAGGCCCAAAAGCAAAGGCATGGTCTTAATGTAAAAATTACGAAAAAATGTTAGTGCCTTCTTTAAAACCGAATATTTCTAACAAAAATAGAACTAATGAGATGAACCAAAAAATAAACCATCGAGGAAGGATATATCTAGATGATAAAGTAGTTTTTAAATTTGTTGCTGTTTTAACATATTTCACAGGGTGTTTCAAACCTTCACCAAAATATCAATATTTAGTTTTCCCTCGTATAATTAACAGATGGGGAGTTTCATTTTTAATTTAGAAAAATATACTAAAAAGTCAAATAATTTGGCAACACAAAATGCTTAAAAAATCATCAAAATCGGCCCATTAAAACAAAATATATTAACCTTTAAAATACATCAAAGTTTTAAGGTGCCCATTTTTCGCACCGGTGAATGTATTTCAAAAACTATACATTTTAGTTATATACTTTTCTAATGAAACAAACCTTTATTTTTTTACTAGAATCCAAAAATCAAATAATATATAGAGTGTTCCACTACAAAAAACATAACTTTGATGAATAACTTTTTTGGGGACACCCTGTAGAATTCTACATAATTTTAGAAAATGCTTTAAATTGACTTACATAAGCTCAGAAAATTTCACTTCAATACAAACTTTAGTTCTCCTTGCAAAAACCGCGTCGTATATGACGCGCCACCCTGTATAATTCGATTTCAATCAAAATTTCAATGATTAGAATATAAGCAGAATAGATATAGCTTATGCATTCGATTTATTTATTTTAACAAATTTACTTAGAAAAAGAATTAAAAAATTAAGAATTAAATAATTAAGAATTTACTAAAATTACTAAAA